GCGGACGATAGACGAACGATGGTCGATGACAATTGTGGTTGGTGTAAATTGAGAAACGTCTTTACAATATATACGGCTTCGTGTTTAAACACATAAACTTGATTTTTAAGTATGTGTCTTTATTCTAGCTACCTAATATATATTTTCTTAAATTTCAAAATGGTGTGTTCGGTGTTTTGTAAACGACCCAAATCGACACATGTAAAATAACAAATATTGACACGGTTACGTAAACAGGTAAGCATAGCCACTTTGTACCTGTACCTGGACCGTAGTTTTCCCCAACAGGGACAATTATGTAACTCGTCGTGTTTTTCATAACGGTCATATGGTATCACGTATAAGCTCCCTTTGTCAGGCACAGACCAGGTAAAACTCCGGCTCATCATTCAAATGTTATTTACCTGTTCTGTACAGTGTTCCTTATTCCAAACGAGGGTTCCGGATTTCTTTTAATCCGTAATATTGATCAACGAATTCTATCAGATCGCACATTTGTTCAGAGATCAGAAATGCACAACGGTGTGAACAATTGTTAAAACGCACAGTTGTGTGCACAATGTGTGGAAGATGTGCGGACGGTGTGTGAACAATGTATGCACGATATGCGCACGCTATTTTCGGTGCGTTGTGTGGTCACACAACTGTACATGCATACATAATTTACGTATGTACAATATAATGTGCTTATCGCTATACAGTCGTTGTCGTTGGTGTAGGGACACGTTCAAGGTCTTGCTCCAAACTAATGCGGTATACATGTAGCTTGCCATAATCTATTCATCATCGTTCGACCTACATGTATAGGTAGCCAAGATTTGTTTTACATCAGTTTTTTTCTTTTATATAATAGTTGAAGACTTAATTTCAATATAACGAGCGAGTCCCAATCAATACAGGTTGTTATGTGAACCGTGCTAGCTACATGTGCATCATACTATGAATCGGGCAGCAGACCTCAACAAAGTCTGGGTACAGTTTCACCCGATGTTCCATTTATATTATTAAAGTTCGTTTTGCTCTCTAATATCTGCTTTTTCAACAGGGATCGTACCTGTTTTTATGAATTCAATGCTTTATACACGTTTGAAATAATAAATGTGTATGCAGGCTCATTGTGCACAAACTGCTGCAGTTGTATGTTAGTGGTGCGAATATAGGTCACTAGTGCACGTGCTGACATCACTTATCTGTGCATATTTAAGTTTATTGTAGCAACATTTAGTAGCCATGCATGAAAATAAAAAAACCAGCTGTCGGTCGTAAATGGGCATTTGGTGATGAGCGGATTGGTCGAGTGGCTAACACTTCGGCCTACCACGCAGACGGCCGGGGTTCGATCCTCGAAGTCGTCGTACGCATGGAATATTAGAGAAAGTGCTTTTTCCTGCCCACACAACTCCAACAACCCAATTGGAGTATAAAATGGCCTGGTTGGATGTTGCGGTATCTGTGCTGTAGCATTCAAGTGAGGTGGCACTGTAAAAGATGCCGTTGGAAGCACGATCCCACTACAAACAGAACACAATACATCTCCAGCACACACGCAGGCATACACACATAGGGAGATATGAGCCAGGTGGCATAGGACTACTAGTTAGCGCCTGATAAGGCAGCTCCTGCGAATTCCTCAAAATTGAATTAATTAATGTACATGTATATGCTAATTGTATCACTTGTATATCTATGTACTGTAAAGCGCTTTAGAGTGGCTTATGTTAGCTAGATAGGGCGCTATATCAAATGTTGTATATTATTTATTATTTATTATATGAAATATAAATCAAACAGCCCAATATCTTTGACATTGATTAGTGGTCTGATGTCATAATGACCTTTATTTCGATTTTCATAACAGGCCACCCAGAACATGTTCAAGGTCTTTTGAAATACATGCACACAGTCAGGCTTGGTGCTAAACGTGTGGGTAGCCTAGGTCGGAAATCTTATGATGAACAATTTAGGCTTAAGAAAGCCACTAATCCTGCCACTAATCCAGACATGAAATGGGAAGTAGTTGATCTGGAATTATGGCTTTTATTTATGTACTCAAGTCAGGACAATAAAACAAATACAATGCAATTTTCAAATCAATAAAAACCTCGTGAGTTCTAGTGTTACCGTTTTAATTTTGAAGGCCATTGTAATAAATGTATTTTGTGGAGAGATGCTTACCCATGGGGTGTGCAAGTTCTGGTTCACTGTTTGAAAAATTTACTTCAGCATTACAGTGGATGGCTTGTGACAGAACGAATTTAGATACACTTGATCACTACCTGGATGATTTTATTATTGCAGGTAGAAACAAATCACAAGAGTGTTATGTTTTAATGTCAATGTTTTCTTCACTTTGTACAGAAATAGGAGTTCCAGTAGCCGGGGAAAAAAATGTTTTCCCTTCCCGTGTCCTCATTTGTTTAGGTTTGGAATTGAATACATTGGAAATATCAGTTAAAGTTCTGGAGGACAAATTATTTGAATTAAGGAATTTACTGCCGTCCTTTTTAGATAGGAAGAAAACTACACTGCATGATCTTCAGGCTCTAACAGACAAGCTTAATTTCTGTGCTAGGGCTATTCCGCCTGCATGGGCATTCATTAGAAGATTGGATGATGCCATGTCTGGAGTTAAATCTCAGCATCACTTTATTAAGATTACAAATGCTATGAAGGAAGATTTAAAAACTTGGTTGTGTTTCAAGGATTGTTTCAATGGCTTCTGTAGTATTGCAGAAATTGACTGGGTGCTTGATTGTGATTTGCGACCATTCACAGACAGTTTAGGAGTAGACAAGGGATGAGGTGGTGACGTTTATTTTGCACCTTCATGGGCCTTTTTAGAATGGCCACAACAGTGGGTTAAATCCAGAGTGATTAGGGATCTTACATTTCTAGAGCTAGTTCCCACGTGTAATCATATATGCTTATGCTATATTCCATTTCGTATTATCCGCATACCGTAATATCAATCCGTAAGATTACACAACTCAATGTACTGCGCTTGCGCAGATCCTGTAACTGTACTTCCGTCTCAGTTAGATACATGTGGTTTTAAGTTAGAAGATGTTGTCTGTTCTTCTCTGACTACATACCGGCTATCATAGGCAAAGAAGTCTACTTTAACACCATAGTCATGGCCTTTTTTTATTTGGGCTCTAAGTTTAAGGCTTAACATATCCCCGGAGTGTAAAATTGCATTTCTGATGCTATTTCTCGACAACAATGGGATCGGTTTCAACAGTTGGCATACGTACAGCGCAGAGAAGCATCAAAACCCTATTCCAGAGTCTTTTCTACAGCAGATTTGCAGCATGAAACAGAGTCTTTACTAAATAAGGCTGATGCTCAATCAACGAGAAAAGTGTCAAGTAATGGTTTAAATTAATTTGAAGTTTTTAGGAGGCAGTATAACTTGGATTTATCCTGTCCCCCTCAGTTTGTATACCTAACTATTATCCATCTGGTCATTGACTTCTCAACTTATCTAATCTGATCGTCGACATATATATGGTGACTAGTTTGATCATATCCATTTGAGCGTCTTGGTTATATTTTTGTAGTAGCTGATATTCCTACCGTCACATTTTGTGGCGGTGCCTGACATTACTTCAGTGTTCTTCCGGGTTCGTGTCAGGTATTTGACATATCTTTTATGAACACCTAAAATGCTACCATTAAGTTTTGGAATTTCTGATGAGTGATAAAAGACTGTCAAATATAATCTTGTAATGAGTTGTCAAATTTGTGGTTAATTCTATTACCCATATCATGGGTAGCCTGTAGCCATGACCATATATATGCCATTAAAACCTACATGTATTCTTAAGCAGTCTACATTGTTTGTTCGTTTTATCTAACTATTTGATAAATGAATTTAATCAAATTATGTTTAAATTTAGTTATCAAATATTGGAGTTACCTCTCTTGGTATATCTTGTTTGTTTTTAACTAGAATTATGTTCCTTGATAAGAGTTTTCCTGTTATACAGAATCGAGCTGACCGAAAGTGATCTCAGGGAGTATAAATTGTATTTACCCGCCCTCCCTCCCAATATATTTAGGCTCACAAATTTTCTGAAGTCAGTAGTTGAGATATAGGAAGAGATACTGTTGCTGTTTTTCTTCTTCTTCCAGGGTTGCAGTTTTCAACCTACTTCTCGGCATGGCTTCAGCAACACCATTGCCGGCATATCATTTATGAACACCTGAAATGCTACCATTAAGTTTTAGAATTGTTTGATAAGTGATAAAGACTGTCAAATCTAAACTTCATTAACAGTTTGAGTTTTGGTTTATTCTTTAACCCATATCATGGGCTTCTGTTCCAAGAGCTCGTGAGGGTAGCCTGTAGCCATGATCATATATGCCATTAAAACCTATTCTGAAGCAGTCTACATTGTTTGGTTGTTTCGTCTAACTATTTGATAATTCTCCACGAATGCTACACTATAAAAATAATGTTATATTGGATGGAAATGGGGCGGGGTTTAACATGATTAAACTTTGTTCTCTATCGCAGATTAAAACATTACCTGTATCCAATTCTTATTAGAATCGTAAATAAATTATTGTTTTAAAATGCGAATTTTAAAATATCTGAGAATGATGTTCAGTTACGACTCGGTGAATGAAGTAAATTGAGGCAATACTGGGGATTTCGTTCACATTTTGTTGTTTCCAAAGTTATGAATTCGTAACGTCATTAAGCGTTTAGACACTTTTTGCTGTAACCATTAATACAGATTTTAACAATTTTGACTTAAAGTACAATTGATGCAACCTAAATGGGTCATTTTACTTTGTTAAACTTTATACGTCGATGCATCAAAATTTTAAAACGATTTGAAGAAGAAAATGTCAAAACTCATAATATTATGGAATAAGTACATACATAACATCGATGTCTTCCTTTAGTTACGGATAGTTCAACGTGGTAAGTTTTATGACCTGCTATTCAAATAAAAGACGAAAATAAAGTAAAAAAAACAAAAAAACTCACATTGACGACTTGGTTTCGATTTCGATTTTATTTTAAATCAAAATTCTGTAATTAGATATGAAAATATCTGCGATGTAAAAACCACTTTTGGTATATTTCTGTTTGAAACACGATCCCCAAAACATACCTAGATTCACACCTATGTATTTTAATATTCTCAGAATATAATAATATGCTAACTATAAATGTTGAACTTAACATTTAAGAAAAACTGCTATAATTTCAATTAAGCATCAGACCTAATTACATTGACTTGCTTTTAATTGGGATGATAACAATAGTCCTCTCTAATCTTTTAAGAGAGGTTTAAGGAGGGTTTTCTCATAAACAATTTGTAAATTGTTTATATCGTCCTTTGTCGCCCAATTTATAGATATCAATATGAAGAAATGCCGGATGTTTTCGTGTTTTAGGATAGTGACTGCAATTTAGCTGCACACATGTTGCTTGCATACAAAGGGAGACAACTGTAGACAAATTTTCAGGTACATGGAGTACCAGTACTGATTTATACAAAATCTTGGCCAAAATCCTTTAAGAGAGGAATTCAGGATTATATATACGCACAGAGAGAAAGATTTGGTACCAATTTCAAAAATAATGATTAGACTACCTCTAGACCCCCTGCGTCATCCTGAAACAGCAGTGTTAGAGAGCCATAATCTGAGTGTTCGCCACATCGCACTTGGTTTGGCTTGATGTCTACAAAAGAACAATACACTGTTACTCATAACGAATTTTACATGTGCACTGTAACTGATGACGACATTTACAACGGCACTGTAACTGATGACGAGATTTACAACGGCACTATAACTGATAACGAGATTTACAAGGACAATGTAACTGGCGATGACGTATTCCAGGACTCTTAAATAATGACGCATTTTCCTGGGCATTTAGACAAATGACGAGGTGTAAAAGAACGCTGTAAAGCACGACAAGGTGTATAAGGATACTGTAACTGATGACGAAGAGGACAAGGACATTAAAACTGATGATAAAATGTAAAATGTACAAGAACATCATAACTTATTTCAAGATGCACAAATATACTTTTATTGTTGACGAGGGTTTTAAGGACGAAGTATACCAGTAAACTGCATTTGAGTACGAGGTGGAAAAGGCACTGTACATAAGGATGAGTTGTACAAGTAACAGACGATTAGGTATACAATAGTTCCATACGTGATAGTGAAGTGTAAAAAGATTCTGCTACTGGTAACAGACTGTTACGTAACACTTGCAGGTGCGACTTTATATAAAGTATACAACGTAAATATAACTTCATACCCTGCAATGACTCTAACCAAATATATCTTATCTCTATCACGTAACGGTTTTAATAAGGACACTGTTATTTATGATGAGGTATAAAAGACAGTACAGTTGAGAACGAAGTGTAAAAAGACAAAGTTTCTGGTGAGCGGTTATGAAAGACGATCATAGATGACGATGTTTGAAAAGATAGAAATGTCTGGTGATGAATAAGAAATATTAAATTAACTTTATCTTTTTGATGTTATGAAATATATTGAGTCTGTTAAATGTAACGGATTCATAAAAGGACTATGTAACTGATTGTTTTACCTGAGAATGAGATAAACAATGACATTGTAACAGGTTATGATTGATGACGTACAGAGTGAACAAAAAGTAACAATTTTACTAAAAACTAAAATGAACATAAAGTAATAAATAAAACGGCCGAGTACATACAATATACAACCTATGTCAGCTGTTACAAGTTTTTCATTTTGATGTACATTAAGTTTTGTTTTTACATATCCTAATACACACACAAAACCACTTTTAAAGTAGCTGGAATTTACCTGACAGGTTTTTCGTACCTTTGTTTGGTGGCAGTGGAGGATAATATATTGACCGTAGACCTGAAGTATTGCCCTTTTTTCCAAGCAATGTATGGCACTTTCTCAGGAAATCTCTGTCCTAGAGCAAATAATGTTTTAAATTCCTTTAATTGACTTAACTGGAAAATAATGAAATGTGATCTATTAAATGCATTTGATTAGCAATTATTGACTGTAATCTTAATTGTATGAAAATAACTAAACAAACAGTTTAATTAGTTTATTCATTTTACTATTTTACTATTTATTATTGAGGATAAAATTAATGTTGTTTCCGTTCTCTGACATTTTCTACCACTATCAATTGTCTTTGGTGCAACCACTACTGTCTGTTCCTTGTGATGTCCTCGCATGGCATTCTGTGAGTTGGAACACTAAATATACACAATAAATCCGGAGAAATAGATAGTTCAAACAAGCAGTCTTAACAAAATGTCCCGATTAGGTTTCATTCGAGTAGATGTATTGCATAAAACATACCTGACTACCGATTCGTTACAGTGTCAGATTGGACTGGACCGATAATATCAAAAGTATTTAACGTTATAGAAAATATCTCACCTCTAAAGCCATGCCAACGGACATCAAATCAAATAGTCTATGGCCAAGTGTGTAGCATGATGCACGGAATTCTTCCATGGTAACTTTGTAGTCTTTCACGTCTGGAATTAACTTAAAAGAAAAGAAATCAAGAATGTTTTAAATTTTATTTGACGATTGAGCAGTCTGCAACTTCTGTAAAATATATGCTGCCGAGCAAATGCTGATTGTAAGAAATCTACAATAGTTTAACTTCATGATAAAAATCACCAGTTAATGCAGTTCTTTGGTAAACTGAACTAATAATGTATCAAACATCAGCAGAATTTCTAAAAATCATGAACAAATAAAAAAAAAGGAATGACTACATTTAACTCTCTCTCTATATATATAGTAAGTAGACAGGCATGAAGCTGAAAAGTGTAGCAATATGTTTATATCTTATTTTAAATACGAGACATTCCTACCTCAGTTCCGTCCACTGGTGGGTAGTTATAAGCCTCTTTGTAATCAAATCGGTTAACCTGATTCAGGCTAAATCAAAAGACAGACACTGGTGAATGGCATATTTTCCAATCCCATATTTTACTACATTGTATAATATAGTGTTTGAGTATTGAAAAAAATATTGTTTAAAAAATGCAAAGAATACAAAACAAAAATAATTTCAGTCAATATTACATGTACAAACCTATGATTACAAATGATATTTTCTTAAATTGAAAGACTATCCTGTGCTAAAAAATGAGAGCCTTACCTTCTGATCCGTATTGTAAAACATTTTATAGTGGAATCTAATATATTTCTATCGTATATATATATGATGGGATATATATATCAGGAAGTTAAAGACAAATCTTCGTTCTTATTATGATGCAGGTAATAGTATAGCATACATGTTTACTTTTTATCTGGTGAAAGGTGGGGTTGACGAGTATATTGACACGTTTAGTGGATTACAGACGGTTAGATTCATGGCGTTATCTGATAGATATTATCGTTTCGAATTCGAGTGTTTACTGACGTTAAAAGTCATCTTAAAGGAAATTGAAATGCTCTGTCACTCTATGCACGATTTACACAACGTATATCACTCAATACGTGCCATCACATAACCAAAACTGTTTGTAAAACTTATGTCAAAAATATCAAACCCATCTCATACCACAAGCATTTGTATAATTATGACTTTTTGCTTGACATCAGGTCACACACTGAATATTTTTGGTAGGGTATCGCCATATTTAAATAAGGGTTTTTCCTGGCATCATAACAAGCGTATCAGAAAGAGAATAGTTCTTCAGTCTCCGATTTTAATTCATCCTAAATTTGTAAACAATATGTCCGTTTTCAATTCCTCACCTTTCATATTTACTATAGATAAATGCTATTTTTCCCCAAACGAGCTAGTTACCTTTCTGTCCCCTGAGGAATCCATCCATAAAATGCATCGCTGGGCCGTCTGTACATATTCTTGTACTCAACTGGCATTTCAAAGAATGTGCAAGCAACTTCCATGGTTCGATCGATCTAAGAGACACGTTTATTACTTTGAAAACACTTAAAGCAAGAAATAACATGATATAGTTTCACAATAAACGTGGTTATCAACAGAAACAATCGCGTTGTTTTTTCAACATTTTCTTGCTTCATATTAATGCTACTTTGACGCACATTGTACGATTGATTTGTTTTAATTAATGTCCCCAATGCATTCATACTTGTGTAAATTTCAATTCTATCCTAAATTAATCATCAAGATCTGGTTCTTATTCATATCACAGTAGTGAATCACAAGTCTCTGATTCCTGGCTCTGTTAGAGGAACTTACTCTGTATTCTCAGGTGTGGCTCCTAGAAAGTCATTTTTAAAAAGCGACTTTGCTTAGTTAAATAAAGGTGATTTTCTTGTGTAAAACTCTTTTCGAATGGAGATCAATGTCACGATCTAGACGTGAAGATATCCTATGTTTACTTTAATTGACTTTCTGTATAGATAAACTAACTTATTGAATAGAGACTGCCATACTGCGTATATCTTGTAATGAAGTTCAACATTAGGTTAAAGACGGAAATTTGTTTTTGTTAAAGTATTACCAATTGTGAGGAACCATGCTACATGAAAATAGTGTTGGTAAAAAAATCGTTTTACTTTATATCATAGCATTTTTTATTTTTTTTAAACATTATGATATTTCGCCGAGAATATAATAATATTAGACGTTTCTAACATACCAAGGACTGCTTAAAGCCGTGATTTGTGATGTAACAGAAGCCGACATCTCTAAAGGCCCCACAAAGGGATTCAGCCAGAGACCGGATAGTCTGTGTATCAACCTCCTGACTGACCACATCCAGGCTGTACCGGGACATGTCCAACACCGGGATCGTCGTCGTCATGACTACCAACACAATCTGTAACGTATAATACTCAAAAGATCAAAAGTAATTTGTGAGACAAAAAAAAAGTTCATGTGCTCTAACACTTGTACTTGGTGAAGTGGCGTGTGTTTATTTCATTTGGTATCAGCTACTTAAGTGTGTGAGTGAGTGTGAGCAAACATGTGATCTAGCATAGGTTCATGTGATAAAAGATATCAGTCGATTACACGATGGTATTTATCAACCGTAGCCGTGCTAACAACTAGATTTACAATTGCATTACAATGCCTGATAGACAACATGTAAACGAATCTGACATAAAATGATAAAGGAGGAACAATTAAATCTGCCTCATTATGATATAATTATCATACAATAATGCATTTAACGTTTAATTCTAGGTGAAACTAAATCACATTTACGGATCTATTGACACATTGGTAATCCGTAAATCACTATAACACATATGGTACAAACATAATATTCACATGCACACTCATGTACATAAGTCGTTTGATGACGTAATGATATTTGAGGTCTGGGTCCAAGTTCAATGATTCATCACGCATTCATCAGCATGCAGTTAAGATAGAGATTATTTAGTGCAACATCATGGCAACTGTACACAGATTAAAGAGTTTATTTGACCGTAGAAAAAAACCAAGAAGGTATTTCGGAAAAACAAGGATGACAATGAATATACTTATATACTTCATTTAGAAGAGTTTTAAAGCATTTGCACATTTATATATTTACAGACAGTGTCTTAATGTATATTTATTGTATTTACAGAGAATGTACGAAGCATGAATTATGTTATCATACACACCTAAACAGTAGGGCTTTGGAATAACATAATCCATCGCAACACATTTTGGTCATTCAAAAAACGCATGAATAATTGTATAACCTTAATACCACAACATACGGTCCTCACATTGGTGTAATCAACAACAACAAGATATGCCACAATTATAGTGGAATATAAATACAAAATGGGCAAAGTTATATATTATTTTAAAGTGACAGTTTACTTGACGTTTTGCCTGTTTTAATTGATAAAGCCTCCAAGTTATTGTAAACGTTTACATGTTACTGCATATATAGGTTATTGATAACTAACCCACTTCGTTTATCTCTGCAAGTTTAAATATAAAAAAATCAATGGCGGTATATGTTTACAGAGCTGTAGTTCACACTGATGTCTGACCTGTAGTCTGTTTTTATTTCATATTACACAATTTGACATTTTGAAGTACAAAAAGCACTGCTACTGTAGAATAAAATGGGCAGAAAATCCCAAAAAAATATCATAACGTCAGAATAAGTCAAATGAAATATGATATAATTATCCCAATCAAAGGTTAGCATACGACAATCACAGTTCATTGTTTACGTACGGAGCATTATAACTGAAGCTGCTACATATATTTTGATTGTACTATTATAGTGCGAACACCAATAAAATACAAGTATCGAACCGCTTACATGGCCTTGGGTCACAAATAGTACTTCCGAGTCGGCTAACGTGAATGTAGGTCATATATGATAATTCAACGCGTTAATACATAATTTCCCTTTTCAGCTATATCAGCCTCTAAATGTAAGTGCAATTATTTTTGTCTTGTGTGGAATTTCTTTTGGCGTAAAGATATTGTATGTTATTAGGCCTCTGAGCTTTTATTCTGATTTGTTTAGCTTCTTTATGTCAATTGTCCCTGGTCCTATTTAGTACAAAATTATATAAAGAAAGTTTTGTTTGCGCCTGTTGTTTTCTTGCATTATGGAAAGTGTCTACATCTATATAGTTTGCATACAAAGGGAGACTACTGTAGACATAATTTGAGTTGAAACTATTTTAATATCAGCAACCATATCAGTATTTCGTCATTGATTTCCAGTTGACTTGAACGTTAGATAAAAGTTTATATCAGAATTTCAAATTTCATTTTATCAATTGATTTCTGCATATTATTTATACGATTTTTTTCGATTATCTTTTAGCATCCAGAATTGATTGTTCCACACTGAATGGGCGTGCTTTATATGTTTTTTTTCGGAAAGTCTCAGGAGATTTTGGCAAAGCATGACCACTCTACTGAGATAAAAAAACAAAAAAAAAAAAAGGTTACAGCTAGTTGATCGTATTGCTGATGCTTTCCCAAATTATGATACACTGGGATCATGCAGGGCTTTCACTTGACTCTTTACATTTGAAATTTTCAGAGGTCGAAATTACATTTACCTCCAAATTTGGAGGGTCAGTTAAAACCCTAGAGTTGAAATTATTTTAGGGAAGACAATACAGTTTCTCAAAAGGTCTTATGAAACCCCTGATAGTGATATGCTTATAATGGTTCACCTTAATTTCGAATACTCCGTTGGGAAAGAAATGCCTTGATGGCCTCTCATATGTTTGATATGAGATGTTCACAATAACAAACGTTCCTTTTGCCGGCTAGATAATTGAACATTTTGAAAAATATTTTTTAACTAAAATATTTGTTAACTAAAACTGTTTTGTAATACTCTAAGCATTTCTAAAATTAATACTAAACAAACAAAAATGTTAATGAATAAAACTGTAAATGATTTGCAAGTAAATTGCAACTGATGATGAAGTGAAGAAGGCCACTGAATATAATGACGACATTTACAAGAACACTGTGACTCATGACGAGGTGTACAAGTACACTGTAACTGATAAATGCAGTAAACAAACTGTACACTGTAACTGATGACGAGGTGTACAAGTATACTGTAACCGATGGCGAGTGTACCAGTACATTGTAATTGATGGCGAGGTGTACAAGTATACTGTAACCGATGGCGAGGTGCAAAGACCTTGTAACTGATGACGAGGTATGCAAGGAGACTGTAACTGATGGCGAGGTTAACAAGTACACTATAACTGATGACGAGGTGTACAAGGAGACTGTAACTGATGACGAGGTGTACAAGTATACTGTAACCGATGGCGAGTGTACAAGTACATTGTAACTGATGACGAGGTATGCAAGGAGACTGTAACTGATGACGAGGTGTACAAGGAGACTGTAACTGATGGCGAGGTTAACAAGTACACTATAACTGATGATGAGGTGTACAAGGAGACTGTAACTGATGGCGAGGTGCAAAGACCTAGTAACTGATGACGAGGTGTACAAGGAGACTGTAACTGATGACGAGATGTACAAGGAAACTGTAGCTGGTGGCGAGGTGAAGAAGGAGACTGTAACTGATGACGAGGTGCAAAGATCCTCTAACTGGTAACGAAGTGCTACAAGAAGATATTGCGACTTGATATACATTGTACAATGTACACGAGGGTAGTAGAATGAAAGCGTATGTAGAACTAGATTGTTGGCATCAATATTCGTCTTGATGTTTCTTCATAATTTAGAAAATGTTTTCATTGCTGAGAAATATTTCGTTAAAGTATATATATTTCGATAATATTTCTGTGTTCAGATTTAAGAAAAAAATAATAATGAATTAAAAATGAGATGAAACTAGTTTTCTTCTCTTATATATGGCTTTCATCCATTTATTTTAAACAGTGCATGAGATCGTAGAAGACATGCAAGCTACCAAAGAATGTTGAAAAAAACTTGCATATTCCTAGCTAGGGATATCACTAACCCACTTATAAAGTATCTTCAGTGTCGTTAAGATGCACTTGTATGCTACTGCTGCATATGTAAGTTATTGGTTCATTTGCCGACGTCGATTATATGTATTTCATTCCAATGTCGGCGTATATATGTTTACATAGCTGTAGTTCACACTGCTGTCTGACATGTGTAGTCTGTTTCTGTTTTATTTCATGAAACACAACTTATCCTGAAAGTACAAATAACACTGTAAATGTAGAATAAAATGGGTAAAAATGAATTTGTATGCCACGACGGCAAATAAAGTCACGTGATATAACTTAATCAACCCAGCCAGCCGTCAAAGGAAACCCTATTAAAACGGATTTCATAATTTGCATACAGAGCAATCTGTATTGGAATATGTACATGGTTTTAATATTATGAAGCTGCTATATATAATTTTGATTATACTATTACAAGAGCTACTCATTAACTAAAGTGCAAAAACTGATAAAAAAAATCTAGAATCGGACCGTTTACATGGTCTTGGGTCAGAAATAATAGAGCTGGATCAGAAAGTGAATGCAGATCATATACGATATTTCAAAGCGTTGTTTTAGATATTTCATTTCTTTCCTGTGAATGAAGTGATATCATATCATAAACCAAAATGAGGACATGTCCCCTCTAAATGGAAGGGCGCATATTGTAGGTTGTTGAAATATCTTTTATGGTAAGGATGAACAAGTTATTGTTAAAGTGGTTCTGGTTGTCATTTTCCTGTAATCCCTAATTTCCCTGTTTTTCTAGTTTACACAGACAAAAGTCCATGTGCGTGTAACTTATAGTAAAAATGGAGCAAGGGAATGTGAGTTGTCATAATAGCTTCTAAATCCTATTTTCAAAGTGGCGGACATGCTATTATGAAGAATATGGCGCCAACCTTGCCTATCTTACTATAGCAAAAACTTTCAAAACATTAAAATATCTACTATGCACACATACACGTCTGGCCTGTTTTAATTGGAGTAACAAATATACATCGTGTAAACAAAATACTAGGTAATGTTCGCCTAGTCAAACTTTTGCCCTTCACCGGAAAAATTCATATAAGGTCAATTTAAATTTCGCTCTTCACATTTAATTACTATGTATATAATGTTGTTCGAATCACGGCACGGGACTGTGTTGTATCTTTGAGCAAGATACTTCACTCCGCTTGTTCCAGTCTACTCAGCTGTAAATGAGTACGTGGTTGGGCAGTGCTAGAATTGTTGAATGCTAGCTGTTAGCGACGAAATGGCAGCTCCGGCTGAATACGCTCCCCAGGGAGTTGAGAAAGATATTGGCTGGTTTCAAAGGCCATATAACCACGGATAATAATTTGGAAACCGCTTTGAGACGAGCTACGAATCGAACTAGGTTGTGATAAAGTGGTATATAAGAACCTCGAATTGTTATTATTATTGTTTACTAATGTTCGCTTTAATGATAATTCGCCCTTTTAGTTATTTCCAAATATATATGTAGGGGTTAACGTGTTTCTCGCAAATTCGCATACAAAGGGAGATAACTGTGTATACAATGTAGAAAATACTTCGAATGGTGGCATCATAAAAGTGTGAACTTGCGACTAAAAACTTAAATTTAGTCTGTCCTAAATATGAATTGGCGCATCAGCCAAATTTATTCCCGGAGCCAATCGAATCTTACCCGTGAATAAGCATTGATAAAAAAAATATGGAAGTCTTGTCAATACTTCAAACATTTATAGGTACAACAATATCTGTTAAGTCATTGACCTCTGAAAGTTTGATTAAACACGGATATAAGTTTCACTTACTTCCCGTCAATTAGATCAGTGGACCAAGTCTGGTTTCTATTGCAAGTTTTGATAGAAAATATATCATTTTTGGTTCAAATATACATAAATATATTAATAACAATAATTGACAATACGGTTGCCTGTGAATTATTAGAATTATAACAAATATCCAGTTACTTAGTCATCTTTATTCACAAAAAAGAACATGCATGTCAGAATAACTCTATCGTCGGTTTTGATATTTGTTTATTAACATTATTGGAACCTTATATTATCTATAAAGCTTGATATATTTTGCATTATGACTCAAAAGGTTTTTCTTAAAACCCAAAACGCACTTAACTGTTGCATTTATTCAAATATATTGATAACGAAACAAAGAAAAATATGATAGACACATGTGAATGAAATCTGTTGTCAGTGTTTATTAGTATGTGGCTGCGAAACGTTGCTGTAGATAGTCGTAGCTTGAGATAGGTTTATATTTATTAGATTTGTCCAGGCACTCAATCATCACCTCATCGTCAGGCTGGAGAAAGAACGCGACAGATTGACGACTCTTTCCCCGTCTCAATTCCTCTTCCGGAATCAACACTCTGTGTTTCTGAAACATGCATCATTAAAACTGTAAACGTTTGAAATGCAGAAACTCAGTCTCTGAAAATGTTTCATAAGCTATGTTCCTCATGTGTGCAATTTTAAAATATCGCTGTACGTTGAGAGTGGTTTTTATATAAACTTATGTTTGTAAATATTTGAAGGAAAAACATATATCTAAATTTACTATTAATTCAGTATGTATCTACAATAACTTCTGATTTCGTAATTTGGAGTGGAACATAGGATTGGTCGAGGCAACTTAACAAGTATTAACTTTCATTCTTAGAAGACGAAATCACTCCTAACTGTACATGTGCAGATGTCAAGCTGGGAACACAGTATTTCTGATCCTTGACGTTCCAAGATATTAACATCTTTCACATATATTATTAAAAGAGTTGATCATCTATTTAGACATATCTCTATTTGTTTGCCCGACTATTTATACAGAACATTATTAATTTTATTCGTGTCCATATTCCTTTCGCGTGTTCAAATTATCTAGAATACATTTGGAAAATAAATATTCGCGAATTTTAAATGGTTTGCAGTATATCTTACTGTAGCCGTGAGTTGATCGGCGGTCCATCTCTGCATGAGATCTCCAATGTTGATCAGTATAGTACCAGGGATAGGAGAGGCGGGAATGTATTCGCCGTGGAGGTTACGTACCTGTTAAAAGTAAACTCTATTTACTGATATAAACACATTAATATCTTTTTTATATCATATACCTTTACTCTCTAGGGGGGGGGGGGGGGGGGGGGTGTTCACATCCGATTGGTGAATTGAACAAAGACCAGGCGGTGAAAGGCGATAGCGAGCATCCAATTCCAAAATAACACTTCAGCACACCAAACCACGGTCGGCGTATCGGTATTATCAGTATAAACATCTATCAAACGTACTTGATGCTGTTTCTTTTGAATTAATTTTCATGAGGAGGAGATGTACAAGGAACGTAGCACGAGGAGACTGAAAGATCATTTGTTTTGCAACGTTCATGCAAGAATGAGAGGGTCTGGCCTATAACTAGCAGGAGGAGGGAATAAGTTTTCAGCATAAATTGTGTACGACACACAGGGAAGCTCCATACTGAACCAAGGAAGATATCGAAGAGTGCAGATGAAAAACGACCGACAGTGATGCGATAGAAGACACGGTTCAAAGCCTGGAATATTAAGTACTGACAAACACAGGTTACGATTTTAAGCGACAGATAATCAACATTGTAATGCATTCGAAAGGAAAAGAGACATTTGGAAAGGGTAACGATGGCAAATGGTGTTGACAACCGATTTGTATTGAAATATACCAGCCGAACGCGTGTATTTCAAAACGAAAGGGGATGCATTTTGTTTTTCTTGCCACACACTGAGACTTATCATATTTTGTAATGTTATATATATTTTTGTATGCACCTTTCCCCGTTCAGTTTAGTTCTAGATATTTCGGACGCGGACTTTCATTTGTCTGATCTTGAGTGACACTAAGTAGTCCCAGGGGGAAAGCTTTCTGTATAGACAAACTACAATTTGAAATAGATGCAACCTTACTTTGTATTTCTGGTGATAATTAGCATATCTGCAATGATCTATTTATCTATGATGGAGGTATAAACCTAATGAACTTAAACAGTAACTACGGCAGCTTTTCATATTTTCCATTATCTATTGGAACTTCTTCAATGAGCAGATCGATATGTCAAGGACGTGCCAATTTATACAGGAAGAAATCTTAAAACTTTGAATTGAAAGCATTCAAAGACTTAAGTTTAGTTTTCTGGAAACATGGTACGTAAATTTGTTATCAATTAAAGATATGTTAAACATTAATTAGTTGAACTTACTTCAAGACCTCCTACGTCGTCTTGAAACAGCAGTGTGAGAGAACCGTAATCCGAATGTTCCCCACAACGAACCTGGTTCGGCTTGATGTCTGCAAATAACAGAATGTTTTAACTGACCTGGTGGCGAAATACATTAGGGCATCGTAACTTGACGTGATTGGTGATGAGTTACTCAGAACACCGTGACCGATGACGAGCTACACTAGAACACAGTGAATGATGACGATATACATGTACACAGGAATATTGTGACTGCTGACGGGCTACATCTACACAAAGACGTAGTCATAAAGTATATTCGTAAAAATAAAAATGACAATTTTTGTTCAGCTGTTTGGGAAATGATTTGACTGTTGTTTAATAAAAATAAAAAATATTTTTTTCAAAAACCATTCGCTCAGTCGAAGGCAAGCTCTACAGAAGTTAGATTTAATCCATCTGTTATGAATGTAAAACTATAAAAACCTTGCAAACCTTTATTTGTTGAGAGAGATGGGTAATATAAACTTCGGAGTGCCGTGCAATTTCCTTTCTGACCAATCAAAGCGTGACATTTTCTCATAAATTTGTTGTCCTAAAATGTAATTCAAATGAGTATGATGACCATGAAAATAAATGTTCAACTAGTGAACCATGTAGCACATCTGTCCAATGTTTCTTTTCTAAAGAACGATACCGTAACATGGAAACCTATTCCAGTTCTGATTAATTGACCAAATGGTATGTGTAGTTATGAGTCTTACAGATCGGGAATTCATCAACGTGACACTTACTGTAGATAAAACAACTTCCAATAATGTCTTGTAAAAAATGCAGAACGAGGGGTCTCCGAACATAGCATTCCCCTCTACTTGCATTACTTACTCCTAAGTCAAGTCCTATTGATACCAAATCAAATATCCTTAAAGACAGTGCTTCACTTGATGCGTAAAAGTCTTCCATGACGGCCTTAAAACCATCAATATCTGGCAAAATCTGAAAAAAAGCAAAAAACATTACACGTAAAGTGATTGAAGTTTTCTCCTTTCAAAATTAGATGGTATGAAAATGTACAAAGAATGCATTTCTGGAAACACTTCAAACTATAGCTTATTCTTGCAATGTTGCAATAGTTTGTTTCTGGCCTATCCCTACGTTATCAAACGGACTTTGTTATTGTTATAGTTTGTTCCTGTCGTACACAAATGTCCTCACATCTCGAAAGAATTGCAGTTATTGTCACAGTTTGTTCCTGTCTTACCCCAATATCCGCACAATGATTGTAGGTACTGTTATAGTTTGTTTCTGACTTACTCTAATGTCATCACAAGAATTGTAGGTACTGTTATAGTTTGTTTCTGACTTACCCTTATGTCATCACAAGAATTGTAGGTACTGTTATAGTTTGTTTCTGACTTACCCCAATACCCGCACAAGAATTGTAGTTAGTGTTATAGTTTTTTCTGACTTACCCTAATGTCATCACAATGATTGTAGGTACTGTTTAAGTTTGTTTCTGACTTACCCTAATGTCCGCACAGGGATTGTAGGTACTGTTATAGTTTGTTTCTGACTTACCCTGATGTCATCACAAAATGATTGTAGTTATTGTTATAGTTTGTTTCTGACTTACCCTAATGTCGTCCCAAGGACTGTAGGTACTGTTATAGTTTGTTTCTGACTTACCCTGATGTCATCACAAGGATTGTAGTTATTGTTATAGTTTGTTTCTGACTTACCCTAATGTCATCACAAGGATTGTAGGTACTGTTATAGTTTGTTTCTGACTTACCTTAATGTCCGCACAAGGACTGTAGTTAAATGCCTCTTTGTAATCTCCTGGACGCTCTGGGTTCAAGCTTTAAAGATGAAAAATACCATCAAAGAGTCAAGTTATGTGTTTAATAATAAAAGGTATGACCTGATTTATTACATCATCCGACTAAAGCAAAACTAGAAATTACGAAGTGTTCGTTATTTTTATATTGTTGTTACCTTTTACAGTAAACGCTGATATCTTAGTCGTCAATTGTGTCGTGAAAACAACAATAAAAAATAAGTCTTACTTTCACAACCGGTTTGGAAATCATTCGACAAAATGTTAGTAATATTCTGTTCAATTCAACAACATCTTGCTGAATGTATAAACATATGATGCCATGATAACTTCAATAAAAACAGACTTGTTCAATAATCAAAACATTTATGAGCAGCGGGAGAAATTGTAACAGAGACTAATTTGCGCCTCATTCGGGGTGGCGGTTAAATTGTGCATCTAAAAATGATTCAAATAAGAGATCCTTTTTGTTCCAGCACAATTATCTCTGTATCACAGCTATACTTTTCTTGTTTAAATTGCGCTACCTCTCCTAGTTGTAATCAAGTTAAGAAATATGTAATATTTATCAAGGCGGAGAGAAACACGACCAAAGATCTCTTAAAAAGTCAAAAAGCAAGTCTGTCATAATTTTCTCTGTTGTAATTTTCTAGTGTTCAATATTGAACGCGGATGCGCGGTAGTCTAGTCGTAGGACGTCGGGCTCATGACCGAAGGGTTGCGGGTTCGCGGCACGGCATTGTGTTCTATGTTTGAGCAAGATGCTTTACTCCACTTGTTTCAGTCTACTCAGCCGTAAATAAGTACGTGGTTGGGCAGTGATAGAATTGAAGAATGCTAGCTGCGAGCGCCGAAATGGCAGCACCGGCTGTATGCTCCCAAGAGAGTTGAGAACGATATTGGCTGGTTGCAAAGGCCCTATAACCACGGATAATAATTTATGAACCTCTTTGAGACGATCTACGAACTAAGTTGTGATAAAGCGGTATATAAGAACCTCGAATCTTTATTATTATTATTATTGCATTTGTTCTCCGTTCTCGACCTGTTCCTCAATGAATATGTTTATGTATATAATCTAATGGGGATCTTATCCCTGGTGTTGTGTATGTACAAGTTACCAATTTTTGCATAATTATTCAAGTACACGCGTCAGAGTAGTCTATGAATATAACATATACAACCGACAGCATGTATGTGACCATGCATGGGATGAATTTACCAGGAGGGGACAGCAAGGTCAATATAACTAATTTACACCTAGGAATGTGTAGTTCATACCCATTGTCTGTCAGAGGGTGGCATGCTGAATAGTGCATGCTTTTTGACACTATCATCATTTAGGCAATGTAAGTTCGAGAGCGGATCCAGTGTTTCTTAAACATTCTACCAATAATAAGATTATTCCAAAACGGGAAATTTTACTCGTTTTTGTTGATCAAAATATTAAATGACAGAAGAAGTACTTTCTCAAAAAAGGCAGTGGCGCCTGTTCTAGATCAACGTTTTAGTATGGTGATCTTGTCGTGACCTTGATAGGGGTCAACATCACAGAGTGGATGTACATCTTTGATTTTTTTGTATTATAAGATCATATCAGCTGTTTTGAAGAAAACTGAATAGGCTCATAGAAAAAATATAAGGGAAAAATTCATTGTCAGGGACTTGCAGAAAAATAAATAAGCTCCATACCTTTCTCGTTCTAAAGCGACCCAGCCATGGTTATCGGTTTTTGGTCGTGCGTAATTCTTCTTGTATTCAACTGGTTTTTCGAAAAAGGTCTTAGACACTGCCTTCATTCGGTCAATCTAGGCGTACAAATATATATACAGCAAATCAATATTGGGTATCACGTGACCTCGAACGATGCATTCTGCGTAAAACAAAATCAGAAAAACCTTCACCTCCGGGCACAGTTTTAAGGTGAATTGACATGATATTTTCGAATTGTTGTTAAATGAAAATAGATACCAAACACACGCAAAATTGCAGAGGAAACCTTCTCATTGATTACAAAATGAAGTACTCTTTACATGCAGGTCACTGGTTCCCATTTAGCAAGGGGCACACAAAGATGCAAGGATGTGATTTGGCATTGAACAAAAACTACAACATTAAATCAAAGAAGAAAGGGGGGAACATAACTCATCCCTTTATAACCGTTGTGTGTTTAACGTTTCATCACAAATCAAGATCTTTTAAAATCGTGGGGAAATAGGAAAAAGAGGACATACTCTGAAAAGAGAAATAACACATCCCTGATCAAGATGATGAATAAAAAGGAATAAGATCTCGTAGGACACAGGCAAAAACAGAACAATCGGAAATGATAAGCTTTTTACCTTGTATGGTAAAGAGCTTCAAAAATACATTTCCTTTAACAAACGTTTCATTTTGTCTTGGGAGCAATGCAAAATTGAATCAACTATTTCGCAGCTCGAGAGGGATATTTGGTTTCCCTTGAATAGTGCGTATTAGTTGTAGTTGTATGGTCGAACTGTCTTTCCACATCAACACGAAGGATGAAATGAAAGAGGTTTTTTTTAAGGAAACTTGCTTTCTTCAGTATAACGACAGAATGACGCCGTCGTTATGCCAAGGCCGTCAATAGCTGCAAACGTCTATCTACATGAGGTAATACGTCTGTAATATCTTCGACTGTTCTATTTTTGCCTCTAACCTCCTCAATGTTCACCCCTCCTTGATTATACCCTGAGAACAAACGTCATCTTCGTGTATCCCATCGTTGAATGATGTCTTAAACCTTGCTTGGTGTAACAGATGTCGTCCGTGTTTGGTATAATATGAGGTAGCGCAGCAGAATATATGTCTCTTGTCGGTGATAGTCGATTTATTATATATATACAAATTATAACATTAAACGACCATTTTACCAAATATAGATGTTCGACAGACGTGATACTTTTTTTCAATTGTTTATGTTTGTCCGTGAGTATGATTGTTGTTTATGAAATCCGTGCAAATCTGAATACAGTTCTAGTTCTAAATCAGTCTTATTCCAGCTAAAGTATTTCTCGCAATGGAAGATAAAGCCTGGTCAGCTTCCTTTGAAAACGTGCCTCAAGGTGTAGCTTTATTCCGCCATTTTTCACGGGCTGAATCATTACAACATTATAAGATGTATAATTGTACATGTATATTGCAAATTAAGGTATTATGCAAACACCGACATATTTATTTATATATCTAATCACGTAATGCAACCGAATCGAAAGAAATCGAAAAGTTCAATAAAAGCTTGCTGAACAGAAGCCACAGGCTCCAGACACGAATACAATATTACTTAACTTATAATGCATATATATCAAAGTAAGATAATCTGTCCCATTGCACAAACTAGACTTCTCAATAATATATTTGTTTTACCAGAGATTGCTGAACTCCATGGTTTTTGACGTAACAGAAGCCGATGTCCCTGAATGCCCCACAGACGGAGTCGGCCAGAGACCGGATGGTCTGTGTGTCCACCTCGTCCTCATTGACCACGCCCAGACCGTATGGGGCTAGGTCCACCACCGGGATCTCAGTCATCGTCGTCATGACAGTCGAATTAATCCTGGAAGATAGACGAGTAGCATGTATATGCGTCAAAATGACAGAACATAGATGACTTGAAGTATGGGTTATGCCATAACCCGTTGTGATTGGACGTTATTCCGATACGCAACTGTAAACCGTCAATATCTATATAGGCCCATAGATAAAAGAACAACAGCTGGGAATCACAACGGTATAGGAGACATCAAACGTAACTGTCGGGATGATTTGAATAATAGATAGCATACGTAATAGTGGTACAAGACCGTGTAAGTACATTTCATAATCATTAAACCATGCATGATCATACATACCGCAGGCGGACAGGCAGGTTCGATACTATAATGTGTACTAAGTATACGGGAATAGACCTCAATACTGCTTGACTTTCAATTCAATCAAAAAAAAAACCCCGTTATGATCCACAATAACCTAATACCGAATACCTCATACTAAAAGTGTACTATTCCATAGTATAGTTATAACATTTCGTAAGTTGTCTCTCCTATTTTTTGCTTTTAATAAAGTCTCCAAGACGGCAAACCAAACAACACAAATAGTAAAAAATGAAATAAATAAAATGTCACCAAGTCAATATCTGATATTAAATGTATGTTTTTACAGCATAAATGTTTGGTTTCATTGGTGGATGTACATACACGTAGACAGACCTCGGATCACAAGCTTAGCAACTAAGATATACAAACAAATAGCTATGGAATCCTTGGAATATCCAAGGAGAATTTTGCAGCCTTTTTGAAAAAAAAACATCCACCCCTCAAATGGCCCGAATGTATTTTTTAAAAATCTATTAAGTAAATATAAAAGATACTTTTGTATATTATTTTTTAAAGCTTGCTTCATAAGTTCGAAGTATTGTGTAAAAGTAAAGCTGCCAAAACAAAACAACCTTAAACGCTAGCACATACTGTAGTTGATAAGTAGGACACAGTGACCTTGTGTTATATCTGCTGCAGTATGTCAACGATAGTCTCTATTTTGTGTCTAAATACACATTAGAAATATACAAAAAATCTTACAAAATTGTATTTATTTGTATTTTAACCAAATCTCAAGAAACGGGGGTCGAAATAAACGGTTATGAACGCATATATATTATAACCCAGCTATATTAAGATGGCATACATATCAGCTAAAATGCTGACGTTATACTTATTGTGACGTCATTATTGTAGCGTCGGATACCACTGACTTTCCCTGAACAAGCATATCCATATATGATACAATCACTTATATGAACTAAATGCTTAATATCGATAAGATAATTCAATTTTGTATGAGATAAGCATATTATCAAAATAGTAAATAGAAGTATTTAACAGTTTGCAGTTGGCAATCAAAAGCAATATCAACTGTAATAAGACAAATTCAACAAGATGGCATTCATAATGCCTATGAATGCCGTCTTGAGCAATTCAAAACTTGTATGGACAAAAAGATGCACAGAGGACCTGTATAGCTCACTTGGATATCGAAGCAATTATGGCAAAATATTCTCCAAATGAGATCCAAGGGAATAGGCCAGACAGACCCCAAGGCCAATCCTTGTAGCAATCTGTATAAGATTTTTCATGCCCAGCAATTTTATGCATGGTTATGGTCATGCTTGTGTTTATCTCTTGATGCCTTGCGCTGCTATATATGGATATGGGGTGGGGATCTCAACTGTTTCATAGATATAACCCAGAAACTAAGTCCCTAGGGATGAGGAAATACCCCAGAGCCTATTTTTAAATCATGATTGTGTTTATCTCTTGATGTCCAGCAATGCTATATATGGTTATGGAGTGGGGATCTCAACTGTTTCAAAGATATAACCCAGAAACTAAGTCCCTATTGGTGGGGAAAGACCCCAGGGCCTATTTTTACATCATGCTCGTGTTTATCTCTTGATGCCCAGCAATGCTATATATGGTTATTGGGTGGGGATCTCAACGGTTTCAAATATATAACCCAGAAACAACTCTAGGGGTGGGGGAAACCCCAGGGCCTATTTTTACATCATCATTGTGTTTATCTCTTGACGCCCAGCAATATTATTTATGGTTATGGGGTGGGGATCTCAACTGTTTCAAAGATACAACGATCCATACCATACAATATTGACCCCACCCTACCACTTGACCCCTTGACCTCAGGGCCATAAATTTTATAAATTCGAAAGCGAGCTAGTTGATGATCATAATTAAACTTGTCATTACTCTCTGCTACTTGAAGGAGTAGAGAAGAAGATTTTTAAAGATTACCCCATTTTTTTACCTATTTGGCCCGCCCCTCAGGCCCCTGGGGGTGTAGCCCCATACTTTTCATAAGTCAGATCCCCATGTCCTAGTGATGTTCCAAGTCGAATTTGGTCAAAATTGGCCCAGTAGTTTTGAAGAAGAAATACTTAATTACACAACAAGTACACAATATTGACCCAGTCCTACCTCTTGACCCCAAGGCCATAAATTTCATAAAATCAAAAGAGGGCTAGTTGATAATTATAATTATATGTGCCATTACTATCTACTATTTGTGGGAGTAGAGAAGAAGATTTTTAAAGATGACTCCATTTTTTTTTTACCTATTTGACCCTGCCCTTTAGGCCCCTGGGGGCGTAGCCCCGATACATTTCATAATTTCCGATCCCCGTGTCCTAGTGATGTTCCATGTCAAGTTTGGTCAAAATTGGCCCCGTAATTTTGAAGATGATTAAAATGTAAAAAGTTGACGGACGACAGACTACGGACGACGGACGCTGCGGTATGCCATAGGCTCACTTGGCAGGATGCGTTCTCATAGCAATCAAAAACAATCTTGTTGGCTCAGAACTTCACCGCAACAAGAATGTGGAATACATGGTCACCAAAACTAACACCAACAAAAGTAAGAGCTTGATAATCGCATATATATACAGGCCTCCAAATCAAACAAATGAAACATACATCCAAAATGTAGCCAAAGAACTAAGAAACGTCAAACTAAAACACAACCGAAATGCATTCTGGGTTGCAGGAGACCCTATTTTCGTAAACATTAGATAGCCGCTTACTTTATCAGGTTCTGAAGGTGCTCCTTATTCAAAGAAAGTTAAGACCAACTAATTATAACTGAAATTAACTTAGACCTTATTAGTTATCTCTGGGTTAGGAGGGGTCTACGGGCTCATAGACCCCTCCTAACCCAGAAATAACGAATTTGTCACCCTGACAGTCTTTTAGATAGTCTAATACTTTTTTTGTGCAAAGTTATGTCACTTTGTGAGATTGACAATAAGGTGACAATACCTAAATCGGATCACTTTTTGAAAAGAGGGCCTGTATCGCTCACCTGAATATGTTTAAAATAATTGGAATGAAGTACAGGTATATAATAATTTGCTATGTTTCCCTATTGGGCCCCGCCCCTCAGCCCCAAGGGGGCCAGACCAAACATTTATACAAATGTGTTCCCCTTCCCCCAAGGATGTTTCTGACCAATATGGAACAAATCCTTTCATTCCTACAGTAGAAGAAGGATTTTAAATAATTTGCTTTATTTCTCCTATTGGGCCCCGCCCCTTGGCCCCAAGGGGGGCCAGACCCACCATTTATACAAAATGTGTTCCTCTTCCCCCAAGGATGCTTCCCACCGTTTATACAAAATTGCGTCCCCTTGGCCTGAGGATGCTCCAGACCAAATTTAGTCAAAATCTGCTTGGCATTTTTAGCTCACCATGGACCTTCGGACTAAAATGACATAGCCTTAGAATAGATAGCAATGTACCATTTTTTTTGTGTCTACAAATGCCATTAGTGTTTAAGTTCGAATAGCACCAGAAAACATAATTCAAACTCAAAGGTCAATGTTTTTATTACGTTTCAAAAAAAAGGTGCGTGCGACGACTATGCATTCTGTTTTGGACTATAGGAATAAATTCACACTATAGAAATACTTTTTGTCATATGAATTCTAAAGGTCGTCATAAAATGTTAATATGCTGACAAAAAAATATTAATTTGAAGTGTAAGATACTGCAAAATTCAAGCCTTGATCCGATTGGGGTCCTGGTAATGATGGTTTGGTGATCCAATTTGGGTCACCTTACTTGACTGCTACCAAAATAGCCCCTACCGGACATCTTTTCGGCAACATTTCGGACAATACACAACCATCTTTGTAATTAGCACCCTTAAGCTGCCCCCCTCATTGCCTGTTTCGTTAAATTTGCTGTCAATTAAGTAGGCTATTTTATCCTGTGAATGTGTCGGACGCCATCTTTGTTGCTATGAAAAGATATTCTAGTTTGAGTTATCTCCCCTCGCACGTGCTTTTATAGACCCCTTTATAGAAATATAGACCCCGGCAAGATATCCAATCAGAAAGAGTATTACAAATTAGAAGGGTGAGAAAGGTTGTTGGGCGTCTCTACCAGAGGTTACAACATCCTAGAACCCTTTTAACAAACAAGAACGATGATTGGGACAGGTAAAAAAAATCAGAGAGAAACAACTTAAAATAACTGCTGCCATAAAAATATCGTGAAGTTTTAGGAAAATTTTGACAATCATCATGGAAAATATGTTATATTAAACAGTTTTCTAAATTTTAAAAAGGAACATTCTTATTTTATAATCATATTTTATAGTCCAAAGGACCAATTAGTTTAGGTGATTTACTAGTCCTTGCTTAAATCTTTTCGTCCAGGAATAGTGCACTAGTGTTAGTGTCAACCCCTGAATACTCACATGTCTTCCCTCATTTCAGTTTGTTGGGACCAGTGCTAAAAAAGGTGGAGGAAGACCAAGCAGAACTACTACTGATCGCCCAACTTTGCACAACACAGTAATGGTTTCCATGTCTTCTGAGACTTGTTATAGTAGCAGGACCTCGCCTACTGCCTGTACAAAAGGGACACAAAAAGGGTAATGCCCCAAACCCGCCAGATGACACATCCGCTATTAAGAAAACTTCACCTGACCGCTTTCAGAATATCGGGGAAGCCATACAAATCTAGGGAATTTCGGCAAACACGGCCAACATCATCTTACAATCTTGGTGTGATTCAACAAAACGACAATACAGGACATATCACAAAAAAAAGTTGTCATTTTGTGACGGACAATGTGCTGATCCGCTTTCTCCAAATGTGAAAAACGTGTTGGCATTCCTGACATGACTTCACAATGCAGGAATATGATATAGAGCGTTAGATTCTGCCATGTCTGCTATATCGGTTATACTGAACATCCAGTAGAACTCCTTTACTCAATCAAATGCACCTATTTCAAGGTTTATGAAGGGAGTTTTTAACATTAGACCAACATTACCACGATATAACTCTACATTGAGATGTGCAGATTGTGCTAGCTTACCTAAAAGCACTAGATGACCCGATGGACAGATCTAGAGACCTGGACTATTAGGGCTGCTCATCGGTCAACGTGTTCAAACTTTGCATCTTCTCCATATTGACAACATTAATTCAATTTTACAGATTTTTTTTTGTCAAAAAATGTATTGAAGATCTTTTGTTGCAAACAAGGCCAGGAGTACATTTACCTGAAATTGTGTTAGAGAGATACAATATTGACAACAACCTCTGTATAGTGACTAACCTTGCAGCGTTTATAGAGAAAACAAAGACAGGATTGATGAGGTTAAGCTCTTTATAGGTTACATAACACCGTTACTTATAGTGTTACAAATGACACCATCGGCAAATGGATTAAGACAAGGTTACAATCATCAAGTATTGATACATGCACAAACACTTTTAAAGCTCATAGCATTCGCTCAGCATCAACATCAACTGCAGCAAAAACTTTGCCAAGATCCACAATACTATTTTTTTTTTACCACAAAGCCGTGGCTTGTGATACATCCCTTTGTGACTCAATTCCGAAACCCAGCTCATTGTTTATTCATTTTTTTTTACTGACAAAATGATGTTTAGATAAGTATTATATATATATATACTGTATATGTGTGTAACAAACCTCACTTGGGTAGGGTACGTACAGAATGGGCACGTACTCCCTTAGTACCATATATATGCTAGTGTGGAACCTTAATCAAACATCAATATATATCTCGTGTCAGTTTTATCTGTTCAAAGGAACAGTCATCGTGTGAAGAAGTGTGCTAGACCAGGGACAGTATATAGAGGGGATTGGCAACTCTGCCCCAGTCAAGATTCTATAGCACGTCGCTTTTGTGTTAGAGCCCCTCTCGATCAGCCCGCGCTTGCGCACTAGCGTTAAAATCATGTCACCAATCTCGCCGTGATGGGAGTGTTTTGATAATGGTTAGCCCTGATTGGGACTGTGTATTATTAGTAGGTCTTCTTTTTATTCCAGGGACAGGGCTTTCGTTGCCACTATGTCTAGCTTTTCGGCTGTGTTGGTGGCTATTACAACAAATCACATTTCGTAAAGCACGTTCCAGTGAAAATAATGCTAATATTGACACTTTTTGACACAAAAACAGCACAAGTTATTTGTTATTTTTTGCCATAAAAATTAGTACTACATATCAAAAAATTATTCAACTTTCTATCGCTGTACATTTCAAAATGAAGTGTTTTTTANATTTCATCTGTGACATCGCTATAGTTCCAAGTAATGCAAATCAAATCAGGCCTACTTAACATAGAAATTACTCAGCTGTTTATTGATATTAATTGTTTTAAAAAATATAAACGATAGTTTATAAAATTTAATCAAAACAGTGAGCAGTCACCAACTACTTTCGCAATAATGATTTACGTTCCAGTGAAAAATAATGCTGATATTTACTCTTTTTGACACAAAAATAACACAAGTTAAATTATATTATTTGCAATTAAAATGGGTTGGGTCGTTATAAAAATTATTCAGCTTTCTATTGCTGTTAATTTAAAAAAGATCAGTCAAATATTTTTGGAGTGAGGTGGTTCACGTACATGTGGTTTTTTTATCCCGCATTTTTGTTTATCGACGCCCACCACAATACTCTGAACCATGCGTTACATCGCGTTTAAAAATAGAAAAATATACCCCAAAAACGAGACATCAATTACTATGATACCACAGATTTATCAATTATACTTCACTATACGTCCCTGGCTAGACGAAGAAAGACAACCCTCGGAGGATGAAATTACGCATGAAATCTTTCCGCCGGTTGTACTTCTATTTTCTCTAAAATTATTGAACATGTATGACCTCAATATGGTCTCAAAATACATATTTTCAGTGTGCTTTATTCGCTGATTCCCTTGTAACGACTAATTATCATTAGGCCTACTGGCAACCGAAACTTCATACATTTTGACATACTTTCCCGCGTTTTACAAAACCGGATGTTCCCGGTGTCTAATTACATAAATACCCTGAGAGCTTATTTAAAAAGATTTACATTTTAGCTTCGGAGCTATAGGAGCGGACTACATTCATGTACGAAAGTTAAGCCAAACGAAACGTGATGGAACGTGCCTTGAACTCGTGATTGTAAACAGTTGTCGTTACACGTAGAACCTGTGCAATACATTAAGGCTATAATATAACCTCTCACCTGTAACGTACATGTACATGTGTATATATATATATGGATTACTAACGGTACAGTTGAAGAGGTAAGCTTTTAGTAACAATTATATGATATTTTAATTTATCTAAGATAAAATAAAAACATTTAAGCTAGGTATCATATGAAATTGTTTTACTCACTTCGTTCAATGTTGTACCACGGACTTAGACACGGACTCCGATAGCAAATCTTATCATCTAAGTCCGTGGTTGTACGAAGGACCGACGTTACAGTTGACCGGTTTGACCAATTACATGAGTGTCCATACACATGATCTATACTCATTTGTGACGAACCCCTGTGGTCAGATTGTGAGTTTGTGAAGCAAAGACGGACCTGGTGATTCGATGGGCTTCAAATATTTGTGGGTTTCTCGGTCTTTAAACAGATCCGACGTGGGGAAATCCCGCAGTCTCGTTTTGAAACCGGAAGTTCGTGGTATCCCATCCTTTTCTGTTTACATCATGGAGAACAAGTCTGAACACGTTCGGGATCATGCTTTCCGCCTGTCTTTGTTTTCCCATGTGGCATGATCAGATGATAATAAAACAGCTGTAAGTGTACAAGCCGCTACACATCAGAACACAAGTAGAACGGCAATCCATTTGTATATATGTATAAGGTCCAAATATAGACTTTCATACACTACCAGTCAGTAAGTAAATTGAACAAAATGTTTCAGAAAGTTTTGTAAGCGTAGTTTAGGAATGATACAGCATGTTTATAGTTATATCCATGGCCATGCTTGAACTAGTACATGTTGGTCGTATTGATCTTAGTCGTAATGCTTAAATCTATGTTTCGTGACAATAAACATGACAGTAAAAGCAATTACGTAAAATGAAACTAAAAAAACTGTTTTTTTTAAACCAACCCTAGATATTTAATATACTGTGACTGATGTTAAGACTAACCATGCTTTTGAAATGTGACCAGGTTAATTACATCACCAGGTTGGCTGACAGACTTGTACAGACAAGTCCCAGTCAGGTTCAGGGGCTGCCTGATGAAAAACACCTTGCTATATAGTCAGCACACACAGGCAACAACCTACATGTAGATAATGTTGTGGCTGGCATTTAAATTGGATGAGCTCCAACAGGCGTTGTGATTACAAACAGTGACATAAGGAACTAAACCTGGACTAGCAAGTTCAGACAGTTGTCAACAATATAGTATATAGTGGACACTGGCTGTTGTATTTTAAATATATGACAGGACTTGTACATGTAGTTATATGACATGGGGAGAGTATATTAGATTAAATGTGTGAAATTCACTGACAGATGGTACGCCCTCGTCTACAAAGGACTATATACTATCTCACTGACCAGTCATTGTGTTTGACTACTAAAATCTGCTAAACATGCTTCACAGAGGTAAGGTGTTTTTTCCTATTTACTTTGTTTAGTTACTAAGTATATATATATACATACATGTGTATACAAAAATATTGTAGTTGAACTTATCAAACATGTACACTGACATGAAATTATAGTTAAAGTAGCAGTAACAAATGTGCATCTTTCTCGTACTTATATATATGGAACTCAGATTCTTTTGTTACAATCCATTGCATTTTCTATATTTCTTTTCGAACATACTGTGTACTGTCAATTTCATTTGATTAACTTTTCAGATGTATTACAATTTTTAGTATGTATGTCTCTAATGATTTCATGTTATTTTGAATATATTTGGAAAGTAGAAAGTTCCAGCTACATTGTAACAGGGACTTATAATAACTCGCAAGAAATTCATTTTTATTTTTAAATATTTCATTTATTTCTTATAATCATAGAAATTAACACATACAAAGTAAGGTTTTAATATTTTACATAGTTTAAACCAAACTTCGTAAATAACTATATGTATGAATTTTCATGCATATTCTTATCACTAATATGAAATATGAGACGAGGTTTGTCAGACTGATCAGAAAATAGTTAAATCAACTTCTTAAAATGGAATCTGTAAGACTAAAACATTAAATTAGGATTATTGTTCTTTCAGTCATACATTTAAATGAAAGTTTGATGATCAGTAAAATTTTCTATTAAGATATGTTGGAAAGCTTAAGGTAGAGTCTGCATTTCTTTATTCTTTTTTTTTTTTGAGATAAGAAAATTGTTATGTGTCAAGGAAACTATTTTCTTTGGTTGATTATCAGTATTAATATTACAGTTCCACAAACACGACATACACAGTCCCATGCTACATTTAAGTTGATATTTGCTTTACAAATTAAATGTAAATGTCAAAAAAGTTGTTTTACCTCGACTCAGATATCATTTGTACATAAAGTCATTACCGTTCCTCTGCATCCATACAGTATGTAAATTGAAATAACAGCATTTCTGTCATTTGTACAAGATTTTAATAGTTGGTTCTGTAATTACTTGGCCCTAAATTATTCTTTTTTAATTTTGTTGGCATTTTGTTTAAATGTTTGTGATTTAAATATTGAGCACAATTCAAACTGCTTTAATAGAAGAAATGAAGGAAATTAAATCCATATGCACTAATCATTTCTTTTAATTCTGCTAAACTTTGTAATGAAGTAAAACAAATTCGTAATTTGGAAACAATAAATATTTAGTGGGTTTTTATTATAAGAAACAGACATAACTGCATATTTCATGTATTTATAGCCAGTAGGGACATGTTCTTACCTGTATTACCTGTAAAACTCTCCCAGGTAGAAAATCAATCAGAGCATCTATAAACTACACCCCACCATACACCTGATTAGTCTTTTGATCTCCCAGCCTCAGCATCAACAGGTGGTTTATCGCCATGCATAGTCAGCTTTATGGCCCGCTGTCAATATTTAAATCGGGGACATATGTGTTTACATCCACCAAAAAAATAAAAAATATTGTCACCATAAAAAAAATATAAGACTGATATAGAGGTGATATTAAATGACCTTGTAATTTATCACATAAACAAAAGAAGTTCAACCATGTAAGTGTTAATTTAGTACCACACTTATCATTACAATGCCAAATTGTTGCCTTGGATCTGGATCGTTTTTAATAAGATTGATGTTTTTTTTAATATCATTTACGTGTTGTTTGTTGAAAAATATGTTGGTATATATGTTGGATTTACCATGTTCATGTACCTGAACTATACAAATAAAGTGATAAGTATAAAAATGGAGACATCATGTACGTTGTCAGTGCAATAGATTATAAATATGATAAAAAGATGGTTTCAGAAATTAGACATTTTCTATATATATATATTGGTTATAATGACCTAACTTTTCTTTTTTGCATTGTCAACTTACAACATAATATACAATGAAGCAATTAACACTGACAATGATTAGTTGATAAATAATAACGTATATTGGAAGAACCTATCTTGTCAATTCCAATAGTGTTGTCGACGACGGACCATATCATAAAGATATTTCCAGAAACTGATTAAGCTTTGCCCACTGGCGTTCAGATTAAGTCTTACACAATAAAATCAATATGCAACTGTGTGGAAATATCAAAGGTAGATTACATTTTTAGCAAGTTCTCCGGTTTGGATTTATCATTTAGTTGACATTTGCTATTACAGATTTATGTAAATCCTTTTTCCTACCTATAATAAGTTTCCATTATAATGCAATCAAATATCAGTAATTCAGAATTTCTCTGTTCTTGGTTGTTAATGTTAATATTTAGGCTTGATAAGGTAAAATGTTCTTGTTCTGTCTATAGGTCGGTCTTAGGGGCTAAATCATGTGGCTACCTGTTCATACAGGTGTGTGTGGATGGAGATCATTTTTCAGATAGTCTTGATTGATACATGGCTTCACTCTGACAAAATCAATCCAATTCACTGTTGCTATGGAACATGCTAAACAATCTTCTCTAGGGACGAAATATTTCATATTTAAGTAATTGTCGTTGAATTATGAACTGGCTGCTGAAGATCGATAAGTTTGCATTTATATTGATTTTTATAAATTAATGTTACATATCTTTTCATTTCAAAAAATAACATCGTATTTTTTCAACATTTAAAACAATAATCTAAGAGCTACTTCATTCATTAAATTTTTTAAAAATATAATTGAAATAGAAGATTTTATATATATACACTGTATAGGTCTTTTTTGTCTACTTATTGTTAGATCGGTGCATTGAAAAGTTTGAGAAGATGATTGATTGATTGATTAGATAATACTAATAGCATAAAGAAAACAACAATTATTTTAATATATACTAATTAACACAAGTGTTTTTAATTTATTTTATATTTTTCAGGGTACTATTTCCGGCCTATTATGTCCGCAGGTTCTGGAGATAAACCTTCTAGTGATCTTTATTCTACGCAGGTAAGATATTTATAGCAAGAGTAACACTAACTTGTAGCTATATCTTCATGGGCCAGTGAGTAAGTATGGAGTCCACAAAGTCTAGCTATATATAGCCATGATGCAACTCTCAACAGGGTCTCTTGACACCTCCAGTGTAGCACAAAACTAGGTGTGTTGTCCGAGCGCCTGCGCAGGGGGACGGGAATTATTGGAAAATGGGGGGAAAACCAAGAACGCGCATGCGCTTTTGTAGAAAATTGCACTCAGATGTTACATGGAAACCTAAAGACAGTGATATGGTAGGCTATTCTTATGTAAAAAGATGGAAACTTATGTATGTCGAAGCATTTATCATAAAAAATGCCAGGTAGGTATATTTTTGTTATCATCCATTTTTTTTTTGAATATAAGTAAATTCTGCACGGTGTGCATATATGTTCATTTGGATATTATTTTAGCCACTATATATATTGGGATTAAGTGATATGTTTTCATAAGATATAAATGTTCTTTTCATTTTATATTGTTTCCCAGTGTTACTGTACATACATATACCTACATGTTTGTTCACGCAGTTACAAATGTTAGATATTTCCCTGTGTGTTTTGAAAATTGCCAACTAAACTTAGGAGAAATTAATCCTGTATCGAAGCATATAAAACCTCATTAAAACAATATTTCTTTTTTTTTAATTTTAAACTATTGAAGGGTTTCCTAAAGTTACAGTTATAGTTCATATGGAGAAAATTTAATTGCAAGAAAAATTAAGGTCTGCTAGAAGAAGTTTTTGGATTACTTAAATGTCTTAAATATCGTTGGGAATGAGGCAGAATTTCAGGCCATATTCACAGGCAGGACAAATTCCATGATGTATTCATATAAGTGGATCGAGAAAGCAAGTAATATATGTTTTAGGGGTGTACAATTTCACTTTTAATGTATTCTGGTAAATTCTTCTACATGTACGTGTAGCCACTAAAGTCTGATCAATATAGTAAATATTCAAAATATTAACATGCCTCGTCCTAAGATTTGCTAGCTCTTGGCGATGATTTAGTGAAATTATACACCAGATTTGAATTACATGTGTTAACTGTATCATACTTATCACTACATACACATGTTAAGTTTAATTAAAAGTTGAATTTATTCAAATATGTACATATGTAAGTATTTCTATGTAATGGATAAAATCAGTTGGACTTGTGATAATGTAACTTACATGTACCTTGAAATTATCATATATATATTTTTAAACTTCGAACATTTGTTAAACAGTTACTCCAGATCAAATCAATACTTAATTGCAAACCTGTTAAAACATGAATTAATGCATGATGTCTGAATTGTAAAATAAAATCTAAATTAGAAAAAGTAATACCTTTATATACTGAACTTGTGTTTCAATAATTATTAATGCTTAATAATTACCTCAACAACATTTGGTTTAACCTATAACCAGCTCATCATTAATATATATAACTGTGATATTAATGTTACTTTAATGAGGTAATGAATCAATCAAAATGTCATCGCATTTAGTGATTAATTTCTATGAAGAGGTTACAATTTTAATACTTTAGATTTATTGGCACTTGAACCATGGCCAATTGATCATTTAACAAGAACACTATTTAATGATAAATATCTAATAGAATAATTATATGCCTTTTCACATTTCAAAAGTAGTTATATTCAATCGCAACAAGCTCGGAATATGTAGGTACAGTATATTCATTAGTATGCGGCTACCGGTTTCATCCGAACAGTGGGATTCTTCAGGACCACTATTCGGACGGAACCGGTAGATGCATACTAATAAATATACCTACATGTACCTATCCCAAGCTTGTTGCGATTTAATATTACTTTTAGTTTGTCCCTATTCCTCAATCGCCCCGCTTACTTGGTATCCAAGCAAAGGATAACGGAACCTAAAGAACCTATATACTAGAAGTACGGTGTTAGCTCTACACCTCGATGGATGTTTTTACATTTCAAATAAATTTTTAGTTATCTTGTTCTTGTTCTCTCTCTAAAGATAGGCTAAGTAAGGTTATTGAAACTGCATCTAACAGACTGATATAAAGTATATTAAATGAGTAAAATGACAGTATAATTGAAATTAATTGTAAGTACATGTAAGTACATATGTACTGCATGTATATATATATATAGGTGGCAGGTCTCCACTTTACATAGAGGCTTCTTGATTTTTCAATAATGTCTCTCCCAGAAAAAAATCGTCCAGTTTTTATTGTAAAATTCATAAAGGGAACAATTGGTCTGGCTGAAATAAAATAGCTGTAATTTCTCACAGTGCATTAAATTGATTTTCCTTATCAATGATCAAATAAGTGATTAGATATAAAGGACTGGCCATAAGGATATCACTCATAGGACCAGGTATAATCTATTCTTTGGTGATCTCTTTAAAACAGTCTGATTGTAAGTTGTATATATGTGTACATTGTATTTAAACCTGAGTGGACGGGACTATAGCTGGTCGTTTAAATGACCTTCTGATAATGCATATACACTCTGTACATGTATCGGTTTGAACAGGATCGTGTATAATGAGCAAGTCCTGCCCTGTACTGGTCCTCTAGAAACATGCTTGTGAACTCGTTTCATGTTAATAAATTAAATGTCATATCACATCGGTTAACCTTTAGGCGTTTATTTACAGCTAGATATAACATTGACAGCATTTCCCCCTTCATAATTTAAGAAAGTTTTCCAAAAGTTCACTGCATATTTTCACCCGAAAATATTGTTTTAAGTGAGAAGTGTATTATCAGTACATTTTGATATTATTTTGCTAAATTTGATTATTTTTTAAATGTGAAAATTTTCAGTCTTGTTATTTTCCACCTTGAAAAGATATATACAGTTCTAGATCTGTATGTATGCATTTAAAAATCACTGCTTTTATAACGTTACAATTTCTAAATCCATAAATTGAGTCACATTTTTATTTTTTTTATTTATGGCTTGATATTTGGTAAATTAATTAATTTATAGCTTGATATTTGGTATGCTTCTGATATTACTGATACATACCAGATACATTGATATTTCAAATAATGAAACACTTGAATCAAAGTTTTGCTGTAGAGATACATTATATTAATATGCAATAACTTTCTTAAATGTAGGAATATAGTTACTGATTTTTTCACATTCTGTATTAATATAACTATTTTATTGTCTCCACACTCCAGACGATTAAGGTTACTTTTTATATATGCCTATATCATCCTTCAAATTTTCATCATTTAATAAATCGTAAAAAAAAATCTGAGATTAAATAGGGCACTTTAACACAAATGTTACAATAACTATTATCAAATATAAATTCTCAATATAGGAAAAATTTGTTTTTTACATTATTTATCATAATTTATCAGGTTGAGAGCACTACCACCACCACCAGCGCCACAGGAAGTGGGCAAAGTCCCACCGGAACCACTACTACAACTTCCACCGCCACTTCACAGTATGTGGTGGCCGAGGAGTACACTGTGGGGGTTCCACTGGTAAGCCTAAAGTACTCATTGAATTATCAAGTGCCTGAATGTTATTATCAGAATTGAAATAAAGATATATCTCTGGTTGAACATGTATCAAATACATACTTTACACAGAAAAAAAGCAAAGTCTGAGTATTAAATGAATTTGTATATATGTCAGTTAATTTAATAATAATGCTTGATTCAGACCTTTTTGCTGTATATAACATATATGCGGGGTATTTGTTTGTTAAGTGGCAAGGACAGTTGCATTTTCAGGTGTATATTAATCTGCTGCTAGTCCTTTTTGAAACCCAATATTCTCATGACAAAGTTGTCTGAATTTCATCATCAAACATTAATATTTACATAATCAAAGTAATCTTTAATACATGTGCGTACTTTGTGAGGTTTATGTAAAATCAATGTTCTGTTTTAATCAGTTTCGACCGAAGCAAGAACTCCTAACATTTTTGCGATCTGTTGGAGCGACTGGAGACATTTTTACAAGGAAGGAGGTGAGTAATCTTTGATCAAACAGTGACTTTTGTCATTCCCCCCNCCCCCCCCAACCCCCATCCCCGCGATATGTGTTATTTTTAAAATGACTCCCACAGAAAAATCACAACACCAGGACTCAAATATCTGGGCCCTATAAATGAATTATTTAATTGTCCACAATTGGAATTGGGAAGCACGGTAGTCTATAGTACATAGTAGGACGCCGGGCTCGTGACAGAAGGGGTTTGTGGGTTTGAGTCATGGCAAGCCACTGTGTTGTATCTTTGAACAAGATACTTTACTCCGCTTGTTCCAGTCTACTCAGCTACAAATGAGTGCGTGTTTGGGCAGCGCTAGAATTGTAGAAAGCTAGCTGTGAGCGCCGAAATGACAGCACCGGCTGTATGTTCGCCAGGGCATCGAGAAAGATATTAGCTGGTTGCAAAATCCCTATAACCACAGATAAAAATTTGTGAACTGCTTTGAGACGATCTATGAACTATAGGTTGTAATAAAGGGGTATATAATTAGAACCTTGAAATACTTCTGCTATTTGTTTATATAAATGGTATTAATTTTCTAAACAATCAATGGTCATCAGATAGCAGCTGTTTCACTTACATTAGTTATTTGTCAAATTTAGTCAAAATTTTATTTATTCATTAAATGATCTATGTTAAAATAATAACAATCTTTCAAAGAGCAGTTCTTAAACACGCAATGTATATGTTTCAATTTGAATCTGTCTTGAAAGATTATTTGGTGTGCTGTCGATAAGTATGCTGTCTTTTAAAGCAATACTGTCAGTTATTATACTGAGAAGTTAAGTTTGCCTAAAATGATGCACCATGGAGTAGCTACATTATCTCTGTGTTAAATTTACTGATGTATTCCTGTATGTTTGATATAATATGCTTCTGTCTTGTACAGATCTGCCAGTTCCTGAAGCAGTATATCGGGAGCCACAGCCTGTACGACCCCCATGACCCACGGCTGGTGTACTGCCAGGGCACAGTACTGGGACAAGTATTTGGGGTCGACAAGTTCACCATCTCTGATGTCTTGTAAGTACCACTAGGAGATAAAAGTCAGTGCATTGTGGTTGAGATAAAAGTCAGTGCATTGTGGTTTTAATGCATAATATGGAGCAATATGGAAAAAGAAAACAGCTGAACTTAATCATGGGAAATGACCTGTAACTGCCCAAAATATCCCTAATGACAAAGCCCCTCCTCTCCCCAACAAAAAAAACACTTTGGTAACTTCTTTTTGTTTTCACAGGGATTTTAATTACACAAATCTTTCCTGTTTGACAACCAACGCCAATAATGCTATATTGTGTTTTGCAGGGATCTCATAGGGAAGAACTGTTACCAAGTCCCTGACACGTGCATCAAGCGCAAATGTCACTATGTGACGAGGCCTTTGAATGGTAGCCATGGCAACCCAACTGGGCCACACCAGCCAGCTGTGCCACATCCCATCTTCCCTAGCCACCAGGTAAGATAATTTATGTATTATATGTATACACCAGCAAGAAACGGATAAGTGTTTTAATGACAGTTTCATTTTGGCAATAAGTCATTCTGTGAATTTAAAACAGTTCTATACCACATAAAACAATGTTTAGGGCAGTGGGGGTTATATCTGTTTTTTGTGCAAAAATCTTATTACAGAGTAGGGTAGATCTTTGTTGATGTGCACCTACTAATTTCGACATTACACAGGTATTTTTCACCTCCTAGATAATAGTGCTAGATGTTCATCTCAGAAACACTGATAGAAATTCAATAGTCAAAGTGTGTACAATTTCAGCAGTGAATCAGGAAGTGTATTTTACTTTATTTTCAGGTGGCTCATAGTTCTGGGAGTGGTTCCCTGACGATAGAGGTCTGTCGGGCATCGCCCATTGTCACCAGCAGTACAGGGCCGCATACAACTGCAAAGGGTCGAAAGTCACCCAAGGGTGTAGGTGTAGTGGACGGGGCGACCTCACACTCACAGGATGCCTCAGCTGCCGTGGCAGGGAAGCTGCCTTCTAAAACGAGCACCAAAAGGAAACGTAAAGGTAAATACATAAGAAACGACCAATGGAACCTTTAATCTACTGGTAACATTAAATTTTCATTAATATAACAAATTTCCTAATCAGAAAAACAGGTAAATGTCCTATATACATAATAAAGCAAGCATTCTAAGCAGTGTATTAGCATGGATCCAACATTATTTGTAATTAAATTTGAATGTCGGGTAGAATCGGAAAATTGACAAAGTTTGTCGGAATTTTTAAATTACTAGGTAATCCTATAAAACTATATGTTATATGTGCATTATCAGTGGTAAGCCCTTTCTCAGTATTAGTTCACCCAAAAAAGGTTTAATTTATTCGATCAGACCTGGAAAGAAACTGTATGCATACAGAGAAATGTAATACTGTTTTACCTTTTTTCTAATACTGTACCTAGGTGCTCTAGGATTTTCTGAAGTGAAAAAACTGGTTGTACTGGTAGTTTATAAAGGAAGAAATATGATATATGCAAAGCCAAGAAATTTACTTTGACCAGTTATGGTGTGCTGTGAGGTTGATATGTAATAAAATCAAGAACATTTGATATCTGTTATTTTACTGAAGAAAAAAATCTGTCTCTTTAGATACTGGAGGATCAAGTGGATCCTCTGAAACCAAACGCCGTCCAGCTTCCGTCAGCATCACCTACAATGACCCGGACACAGAGGGCTCCAGGTATCCCTGGTACTTCCAAGTTAAGATGGAAACAACAGACGAGGAGAGTGAGGTTCTCAGTATACAGGTATATTTCTTAAAACACTATCTGCTAAGGAACGAAAAATATTTCAAGTTGCTTAATTTAGCTTAAAAAAGCTGTTTTAAAAATAAAATGAGAACAGTTTTTCACCTGGAACTGCTATTAGTGTTACTCCAATAGAATTCTCAAGGAAAATGCATAATTTGTTTTAATGTGCTGAAAGAAGTTATATTAACACTTGTAATATTTTATTGAAAAGTCTACTAAGTATTCAGGATATTCTTTGGTTATTATAGGCAAGTGGTCTTTAATCCAGGTGGTGTGTAAGGAAAGTTTTACATAACAACAGTTTGTGCTTGATAAAACTTGTTATTAAGGATAATGAAATATTCCTGTGGGAAAAAAATTACACAGATTTGTATAGTTCCTCATACAAAGCAGTCAAACAGTGTCATGTTCTTCATCAGTGATCAGCCGAATCGCAGACAAGTATCAGGTGCAAACATTACTAGTGGATAACCGCTGGGGGAATTTTGCATCAATTTGGTCTGGACCATATCCTTGGAAACTCAACATTGTATAAACAAAGGGCGTGAGCCCCTGGTGGTAGAAGAACTGCCAAATAGTGGGGAACATAGTGATAAAGGTTTAAAATTCTTCTCCTTCAGTAGGATTGAAGGGATTTTTACCAGATTTGGCCAGAGTGTCCTTGGGCAAGGGGGTGACTTAATATTGTATAAACATAGTGAGTTCGGCCATATTGCTTTAATTGACTTATTCTGTGGAACTAAAAGATATGGATATCAACCATATTTGATTTAAAGCATTCTCAGGTGGTGAAGATTCAAAATTGTACAAATGGAGGGGCTGGGGGGAGGGTATTTTTGCCAGACTGCTTTAAGTGACTTCTTCTCTGGAACTAAGTGACCTATATCTACCATATTTAGTTGGAGCATTCTTAATTAGGTGGTTGTCGATTCAAAAGTACCAGTTTAAGGGCTGACCCTCAGGTCTGAGGGGTGGGGCCAAAAAGAAATTCTAACTTGAACATTATCAAGATCCACATCCCATAACCATGTATACAAATGCTGGGCATAAAGAGATAAAACCCTAGGGACTATAAATATTTGGATTCTAACTTTTAAAAAGGTTGAGATCCTCAGCTCATATAGCTATACCATTGCTGGGCATAGAGGTACAGGTGAGCGGTACAGGCCCCTCATAGTCTCTTGTTATATACTTATTTTGATTTGTATATGCTAGTGGCTAATGTTTGACATTGGTTTGAGCAGGGCCAGGAGACGACACGGGTGCAGGACTCCACTGATGACATGTGGTTCGTGGAGGATGAGGATGAGTCGGTGACCGTGAACTCTCTTGCGGTAGATGTTGATTCGGATACTTTTTCTGTTGAGTACGAGCTGGATTCAGATATTCCAGGCGACAGCGATTCCTCCGATATATCATCTCCTTTTTCTGAAGCGGTAAGAGTTGTTTTTACTTTTCATGAAGTCAATTTTACTATTATTGCTTTGGAAATGTTTTTTTTTTTTTTAGATGAGTTATGTCCGATTAGAATGATTTGTGACTGGTTATCAATTTAAATCTTCCTTTACGACTAGATTTCCCTGCACTTTAGTTGTTAAGGTGTCAAATAAAAATGTTATTTCCGATGACCTACCTACCCTACTTCTTTATATAAGCCGTATAAAATATGAAAAATAAAATGTATTGCCTACCTTCCTACACAATTATGTTGAGACATGTAAGAAGGGAAACAAACATTTTGTTTGTTTGGTCGAATAGTACATGTTATCATGTATAAAATTCAGTTCTTAATTATAGACACAACTAGGATATTGACATCAAAAACCTATTCTAACATTTTGGAGAGAGGCGAAGGTTACCTCAGGATCTAAAATATTTGTTACTATAGTGGACCCCGGGAAAAAGAATGCAGGTGATGGGTATTTCCAATCGCCATTTTTACATACAAAATCTGTAGTTCACCAGGGTCTATGTTAGAATTGTATCTGATAAAATGAAATGGTAATTACCAGAACATCGTTTTGGATACCGAATGTTTTACACTGGTTCCGTATCCTCCTCAATGTCTTATCATAAACAGAATATCATAATTTAGCCTGACTGTGCATTCATTATATAATAATGAAGATTTTTTGTATAGGATGTGCTGGTAGTGTGCAATGATAGCGATGTCCAGTTTTGGGCTGACCATTCCAGTGGACCGGAGACAGACACCGAGCTGTCAGATGAGGTAGGTCTTCATATAATGTACATTTCATTACTATCAGAGCATCGACAACATAAACAATCTGTGTTTTTGTGCTTTAACCCTTTCACCCCTAGGTAACTTTAGTAGACTCTACCATACATTTATTTGGATGAGTCCATTATGGTCTACAGTGGTGAAAGGGTTAAAAGGGAACATTGGAGAAACCAACATTAATCTGTCGGCCCTATTGCGACACATAGCACTTTTGTCCTACCTAAACGTCTGTTTCGGTGTTGTATCCCTACATGTATGTAAGCACCTCTGATTAGCCCATCGTCAGAATTATGTGATGGGGGCCGGGCGGGGTGATAACATGTCCAGGTTCCGATATTTCAGTAGGATAGCACTTAAAATGGCCATGCATTAAATGATCTGATCATATTGTTGATGTGGATTTATATGATTTTACCTGTAAAGAGGATGCAAATCTTTTAACAAACAAAACAAACGTTTCATCTCAGGGGCTGCATTTCTTAAAAATATTATCAGTATTTCAAATAAATTAACGTTTGATATAAATAAACTAAGTAGTATAGATAGAGAGGTATTACTTGAAATAAAAATTTGACGAAAAAAATGATTAAATTAGATTTGATTTGACTGTTATGCATACAGTTAAGGCAGCAAAAATGTAATTCCATGAAAAATGAATGTATGCAAGATCATTAAAAATATTGTGTTTAAAAAGTTAGAAATATAACAACAACATCTAGCTTTTGCCTTAGTGAGATTTTCTTTAAAGTTGATCCAATATTACTGTTCTAGGACAAATGGTCCTGTCAAGAATGTAAGACCAAGAACTCACCAACACAAAGGTATTGCTCCCGATGTTGGAAGCTGCGTCCTGATTGGCTGCCAGACCGAGACAGCGAGACACGACAGTCGAAGTACAGTAAGAGGCGGGTTAAGGCAGTCCATGGAGAGGTGTCCTCATCTGATGGAGAGATGCTAGATTCTGGCATATATACAAGCTGTAACTCGGCCATGCCCACATGCAGTCAAACAACTATTATAAAAATAGACGATCTTGAAGATTCAAAACCTGATAAACAGGATACAACATCATGTCCTGAGAAGGAAATCTCCTTGAAAGACAGCCCAGAGGCTAAGTTTATTGGAATGAGGAGGACTTTCTTAAACTATAGGTCCTTGAGCAACAGTTCCAAAGAAAAAGACGAAGTATTGAACGAAAAATTAGTTGAAGACAAAATAGTTCCACAGAACATTGAATCTCAAGTCACAGAAAAATTGTCAACAAAGGAAACACTGGTGTGTGGTACTCAAGAGAAGCTTCCACAATATTCAGGTGGTGCAAGGTCAAGTGTGATTCAACAGCCATTGCCTAGCGACATGTGTATGACATGTCTGTGTCGTCCAAAAACAGCGAGCATCATCCATGGCAGCACAGGACATCAAGTCTGTTGTTTTAAGTGTGCTCGGCGGCTTAAAAGGCAGAGGAAACCCTGCCCAGTATGTCGCAGACCCATACAGAAAGTCATCAAAAACTTCATTTTGTAAAAATGAAGAAACAATATATCCCAGCCTTGGTTGTCACTTGTGGTTTCATTGCCGTAGAAAAATCCTAATTTTCATATCCTCATGTCATCAAAGGTCTGAAAAGCTCGATATTAATTCATACTTTATTTAAAAACTAGAAGAAAAATGTCCCTAATGACTTTTATTTCATTCTTTGATGTTTTTAATTATTTGTTTTATTTATTGTGCAATTACACCATCACCATGAACATTTTACAGGTAGAAATCATTTATTCATATTGGATGTATAAGTAATGTTGCCTGGTTAACTGAATGACTTAGCTTGTCAGTGCATAATGTATATAATGTAACAGATAATATTTTTTTATTACACGACACTTGAACATCTAATTAACCTGGAATAATAAAATGAAAAACTTCCAGGCAACACTATACAATAATTGGTTCAATGAAGCAGTGTGTACAAGGAAATACAAGTTTGTTGGAATGGCAGTAATTCTCCATTATTAGATACGTTAATTGTCATTCAGAAGACTAAAATTAACTGGCGGGTAGACCATTTTGCCAAAAACACCTGTGATGTTATATTTTTTTTTACAGGTGAGGCTTGTGCCTGAGATTTTACTGTATAGAATATGGCTCTGATCACCTCTGGTACTTATTCAATAGTTAACGCTTTTTTTGTCCAGAATTAAAAATCGAAATACAAATAAGGTCATAATTAAGGTACCATTTGAACAATGGTATACAAAGATAAAAAAAAATAATATTCTGTCATGATCAGTTGCTTGGGGAGTTTGGTTTTCTCCTCCTTGAGTGGGACCCCAATGTCCTGACAAAGGTTAGGGAAATTATGGGAAAAAAGTTGGAAGCCAACCCCATGATGAGTTTCAATTGAGCAATTTTACTACTGTTGTAAATTTAAGGGTCTTTCATGTGTCCTATGTATACTGTACATACAATGTATATATCAGTGATGTTATAAAAGCAATGTTGAGCAAATGTTACTGGTATTTCATTTGGTACGCTTTGTTTAATGTTACCTCGGGTAACTCCCAGTGTTCAAAATTATGTTTTTCTCCCCAGTTGTTTGATACTAATATTGATCCCAATAGGGTATATATACTTATACTTAATTAAGTTGCAAGTCAGAAGTTGTTAATTTGAATTGAAATATTTTTTAACCGATTGTTTGCAAGGATTGTGCAATGTTTAAAATTTAAAAATGTGTTCCTGACATTTTTACAGAGCCCATCATTGTAATCATCATCATCCGTATGTGTGTACCAATACGTGTCCTCTACTTGCAACTGTGGGTAAAACTGTTTTTAACTTTCTCACTATTTGTCCTGGGATTTTCGGTGTACTGATAAAGTATAAATAGAAAAGAAATCATGATACATTGTACTTCTAATTCCGTCCTTTCGTATTGCAGAGTTATCTGCTCTTGTGAGCAGGTATTGATTGTTACGTCAATTGTTTGCGAGAGTAACATCATACATTTTTGAGAAAACAACAGAATTTTCTCACAAACTAATGACGTAACAATTAATACCTGCTCCCAAGAGCAGATAACTCTGCAATACGAAAAGACGGAATAAAACCCTATTCCAGATTATAATTTGTCAGTGCTTTTATTATGATTGACAGCCACTTATCATATATATTTCAATGGTTGTAGACTGACCGACATTTTTTCCTGTGAATATGACATATATTATGTAGTGCTGAGATTTGCATAAGTTGGTGTAATCAGATTTGTATAACATCATCTATACATGATTAACATTAAACATGTACATGACATGAAACCTGCATAAACTGACTTTCTTAAGGATAAATACATGTACCATCTTTATAATACTGTGTGGCATTAAGCTCTTAGGACTACAGTTCACAAGTATACCTCGTATTAGAAACACCCTGTATTATAAACCTGGAAATAGATCTTATGAAAAATTATTTCAACTTCCCCCAAATGATTTATTTGAAAGATCTTTAAATGGGTAAAAGTAAAAGTAGGGTCTCTGTAATTTGTGTATGACATGTATGGTTTAAATTTTAAAGGGGGATAACTCTTCAACAGGAATTACAGTTACAATATCTCAAGTAGCTTGTACAGTATTCTCAAGTTGAAAAAGGTCAATGCCATTTTGGAAATTCACATTTCCACCCTATATAGATATATGTATGTTATTTTTTTAAAAGAAATTTTAGTTAAAAACAGTACAAGTTTGTGCAGTGTTATACAATATGATATGCATTGTGTGTAAAACTGACTCGTCAGAACATGCATGTACATTTGTATCTTTGAGAAAGCTCATTAACATTTAATAATACTGTTGTATGTGAGTGACTGTCGAAATTTCATTTGCAAATGAAACAGTTTATACAACTGGACATATTCTTAAAAGTTGTGCTTCAAATTTAAAATGTTTTCAAGGAGTGCTACACTAAAAGAATATTCTGGTTTATTGCTTTTGAATAATCTGTGTACAACTAAGTACAAAGTGCAGTATCTGTCCCATTTGTTCATGTTTCAGAATTATTTTGTTATATACGTTCTGTATACTGTTAACAGGTATAAATAAATGTTGTACTAAAAGGTTTGTTCTTTATTTCTGCTACACGTATCACATAACATTAGAATGGATTGCACTCTTTTAATTTCTCTGATCTGGCACAACTGTAATGGCAAAGTCTTTATTTGAAGTTCTTATCATATAACCTCACCGAAACAGATAAGGATCTGTCAAGGTGAAGTATAATTAAGTTTTGATTTAATGATGCCAGAACTTGAAACTTTGGCAGCATGGTTTTTGCGGGTTTACTCAAAATGGTGGGGCTGTTCGTAATGTTGTGTAGGCAGGTTTTGAAGAAAAAGAAAAAGTATTCCCCATACCTGGAGAAAACAATTCTAAGGAAGCAGTACCTAAATCGGACCACTCTTTGCAACAATACTTTTAAATCTATAAATATGTCAACAGTTAAGTTATTACAATCATTTATCTTTACAATACATAGTTAGGCATTATTTTTAGTAGAGAAAGTTAACTTTTAAGTTCAATTAGTGTCAGATTAAAACGTCAAATCTATTTTTTAATTACTTTGTTAAAAAATTGCGCGTGCAACGTCTATGTCTTTTGTTTCCGACTGTAGGAAGATTATCATAAAATGGTCAATTGCTTACAAAGAAATGATCATCTGAAGAGCAATTAAGCTATTGCAAAACTCGAGCCGTGATCTGTTTTGGGTATTGACATTGCCAAAAAACGGAAACACCAATTGATGAAGTCACAAGTGTTTTATAATATCTCACGTGAGTATGGGTGTTTATTTCATTGGTAAGAACACCCATTGATATTTTTCTTTTGATACAACCATGAACTAATATAATTCATCCACTGAATTTTCAATGAAGGAAGAAAATGATGGTTTGGTGATCCATTTTGGGTACTGTCACCCTAGTGGGTTATACATAGAGCTATATCAGAATACTTGTGATAGCCAATAATTAAAACAAAACCACCTTTGATTAGTTTATAAATTTAATATTAAACCGTATTGCAATTTTTACGACCTTTATGTAGGTGAACACAGTACATTTACAATGATAAAGCTTACAAAATTAGTGAAACAATTATTCTAACCTCTTTAATGCTGTCACCTTCATTTGCAGCTGTCGGAACATGGACATCTGACAATTTTTTGATTATCCAGCTGGAATACAAAAGGAACCAGTTTGATTTGTAAAGAACCCTGTTAATGTAACACCCATTGCCCATGCTCTGCTGAAGTTTTCTGAATGCGATATAGCTGGATTTTTAAGACAATGTTAAATAAAAAAAAATAAAAAAATAACTTTTTCCCTGCAAGACTGGCTGTAAACATGTGATGTGGTAGGACAACTAGACAATTGACATCTAGCTTAACATGACCCAATGTACAGTATATATTCATAAACTCATTTATTCGATGATAACAACAATCGTTTAAGAGGATATTTTTCTGTTATGTATTTCAAGATGTCGAAAGTGACTACAGATTCACCTGGTCATTAGAACCAGTAAATCTATCTAGGCTGCTAAATTTGGAACTCTAAAAAAGGACTCCCATTTTAATACAAAAATCTAATTTCAAACAAACACTGAACATCTGACTAGATTTAAACCAGACCTGGACAGCCAGCAACATTTGGACTCAAACCATAACAACAACTTTTCTTGGGTACCTGAGTAGATATAGTCTTAAAACAACTGCTTAAGAAAATGAAAATATTCATCTTTGACTGTTGTGGGTGTATAAGCTCACAGCTTGGCAATGCCCCATTACTGTTGTAATATACCCGGTAAATAAGATATCAGCTACATTTTTCACAGACGTCATAGAATCATGGAGTGAATATCCTCTGCTATTTCCATACTACGTAGTGTCCTTTTTATATCTGATTCATTGTTGTTCCCGGATTTTACTTCATTGATGAACAGCAGGAAGTCCCTCATGAACAAACCGACTGGAAAGATAAACATGAACAAGGTCATTTACCATCACTGTTGATAGGGCGTTAAACAATACTAAACCAAACCAAACCAAGGTCATTGATAAGACAGCTCTGCTTTACTAATATTTTAAATAGAAATGATCATTAATTTTAATTCATTAATCATCCTCCGAGGTTCCTATAGTGACACATGGATTATTTTTTTGCAAACATTTTACGTTCACCGATAACAAACAATTGTCTTCATCAATAATGCATGTAATAAACATGTACCCTGTAATATAAAAGTAATTAAACATGGGTTACAAAATATCATAAATTATAGATATTTTCAAATGTGATGATAAAAGCACATATGAACAGATAACAGATTTTTCTCATACATTCAACTGTCACAGTAAGATTATCTCCCTTTGACTATGAAAACGCTTTAAAAAAACTGTGCTTTTTTGGCTGGATACTAACTCCAGAACAAAACTACCGGTACTTCAAGTTCATATTAAAAACAAGTCATGTTTCAATATTACAAAAGATGTTACTTTTTCTTACAAACGAAATGTAAGTGTAAGAAAACATATCTTATTTCTTCAATATTTTCAGTATGAATTTTATGATCAGCTGATCGGTAATTAAAAGATTTTGAGTAGGAGCTTACCGTAAAGAATGGATTATAAAATATGAAGATGTGATGTAGTTAAAAGCATGTTAGTGATGTACAATATGTAAGAGACCTACCTGGTTTTTTGCCGTCTCCCTGAGTTGATTGTGACTTTGGCGCCTCAGGAACATATTCTACAGTACTCCCATCCTCTATCTCAAAGTATACCCTCTTCTGTCTCTTGGCTTCTGTCAGCCTTGTCAGAGATACAATCACTTTTCTGAAATACATGTACATGTATTTGTAAGCAACATATTAAAGCAATGTAATCAGACACAATATCGGTATACATCATTTTTGGGGGTTTTGAATAAGTAACAGCAGTTAAAGTATGCAAATATTTTGCTTGTTTCAAATACGCAAACGGAGTGTTGTAGGTGATGCATGTCTTAGTTTAGGGGGAGATAACTGTGTTATTACAGTGAAACTAGGGCCGTTTTCATTTATTAACAGTTAAACTGGTGGGACCACCAATGATGGTTTATTAAATAAGGTCCGACCTAGTAATCTGATGCTGCTTTCAGGTGAGCCTTGACAAAGCCTTGCAAGGCCTGCATACACATTTGCAAGCTGCCAGGATTTATACCCGAAATTGTTACATTTATAAATGGACAAACCGGTTGTTCCGCATAAAAGAACAGGCCTCTGTCTACACTTTACCCATTATTAATCCAGGTACCAAGTTCTTTGCAATTTATGTCACTGCTATTCCATCCAGCATAAAGTTTTGTTCTAAATGACCTCTTCTACAGATTCATACCCCTATAATTGTCCCAGACCCAAGACATCTGATATGTAGTTTAATTGTTGTGGTGGCTCAGCTATCAGATATGTTCTAACAAATATTACCTTTTTAAAGTTTGAAGTGGTGTAGTAAGCTATCAAGAGAACTATCGACTTTGTTTAAATATACATGTATATTACAATACATTGAACCACTAAAGGTCAGAGGGTCAAGTGTGCTAAATATTTCAATGATTTCATCTACAGAACCTTTCAGCTTAAATGTTGTGATAAATTTGTTTTTGGTCTGTTGCTTGCCATGTGAAAGACTGTTATTGTGATAAATTTGTTTTTGGTCTGTTGCTTGCCATGTGAAAGACTGTTATTGTGATAAATTTGTTTTTGGTCTGTTGCTTGCCATGGGAAAGACTGTTAAATCTAGTCAAATAGATGACAATGTTTTCCTCAAACTAGACGATTTTTAGATCATACACGAAATGTAGCAGATCTTAGTTGATGTCTGGTTTATAGAGCTTATAGCTCATCATGCCTTTTCAGTATATTTTTACCTCCAAGTGAACTTGAGCACATAAGACGTAGATTACAACAATTTCTGATTTCTGAAGATCAATGATGCACCTCTTTACTTAAATTTTACAATATTTACTTTCCATCTGTAGTTTCCAGTTCTGCCGTAGCATTATAGCCATTTTCCAGTGTTGTAAACTTTCCACCGATGACCTTGACCTCCCCCACTAAATGATACACTGTTTCAATCAGGGAAATATTGGCTATAAAAGGTCGACCAGATCTTTTCATGTCCCCAATCCAGCCATTCAGCTTTCCTGGTAGGAAAATAATGATTAAACTGTACATACATTTCATTTATTCGTTAGGATTAGAAATGTAAATTTCTATTTCAGGGATCAGTTCCAGAATATGTATATAGTTAGATATTAAATCAGAAAGGCAATGTGTACATAATTATATCATTATTTTGCAAATTCGTTCCTAAAGTAAATTATCTTGCTCCATTCATTGAATAAGTAAAGGATCTAGCTCAATTGTACATGAAGTAAAAACTTCAGAGTTATGATTTTTTATTGTCATAATCCACAATATATACATATGTCTTTTGCCTGAATAAGACACACATGCATGTTTAATTTTTTGCTTTTGAAAAACTCAGAAAACAGCTCCGGTACAAATTCAAATTTTAACTTTGTTGCTGTCTGTGTTGTCATGCCTGGAATACTGACACTTACATTATGTATTGATCGGGATATTACAGCGTCCTTTCCAGGAGTCTAGATTAAGTACAGTGGTGATAGGCACTGTTTGAGGAAACATAATTTGATTAATTTATTTTTACCTGTGAGTGAGATTGTTCCACACTTCCATTTTCCTGCACCAGTCAACTTGTCTTTAAAATTATTCAGCAAAGCAATATTTTCCTGGTGAAGAATGAGTCCTTCAACACATTACAGAGTTCAATTAATCAGGAATGTATTCATATATTAAATACTGTATTTTTGCATTTGAAGTCTTTTCTTGAAGTACCTACTTAATTAAAGTATTTAGTTAATTTTCTACATGTACTTATACAATGTAATAGTTCATGTTCTGTGGTTTTTATGAAGGAACATATATGTAACTAAATTCAATTTATTTTCCAAATGCCTGTATGCTAGATTCCAACTTCAGAACATCATTCATGGGTCTTTCAAGTGCAGTGCTCTGAACGGAGAGAATTGACAGTAACTTTCTTTCAGCCAAGTAATTATGTAACCAATAACAAAATACCCATGACATGACTAGCATACGGAATTCAAAGTTAAAATTTGTAGCCAACATAAAGATCTACACTTCCAGCACTAACCCTGAATGCTATGTACAAGTTTACTACCAGGTTAATGGAAACAATTAAGAGTGACAGAAAATATAGAGGAGGCTGTAACCTTTTTGAGATGCGAGCTGGTAGAACTCCTTTGCCGCCCGAGAGTTTAACGCCACTGGAAACTCAATGAGTACATGCTTCCCATGCTGTAGGCTTTTTCTGGTGAAAAGGGGGACAAAATAAAAACTTTTCATGAAATAACATGTTTCAAATACTTCCAATAATGTACACCTCAATGTAATTCATCTTATGATACTGATAAATAATTTGTTAGACTGAATATTCTTAGACGAACTTCATATTAATTTTCATATTACACTAACATTTTAGATGAATTCATTCCTATGAGACTAAGTATTCTTACATAAATTTCGTATTAAATTTCATATTAACAAGAAGCACATACATATCATTTTATTAATTTTTAGAAAGATATCCTTATGAAATAAGCTTTCAGCCTGTTAACAACCATAGAGAGTGTTTCAAACAGGAGTAATGTTCATCAAATTGTTAGCCTCCCCTCAACAAGAAATTACAAATCGGGTCGTGTATCCAACAGAGATACAATATAAAGAAATCTTCACAATCGCTCATACTTATTTCTTCAACTGTGTGATAATTTGCCTGAAATCCCACTTAAGTACCTGACTTGATCTTCGTGTTGTTCATTTTCTGTGCAGATGATGATAACGTGGACATCCTTTCTATTAAGAGCCTCATCAAGTTCAAGTTTTACTGATCCTTCTACTTCAATGTCCCTTCTACAAAGATAAAACATGTATCCAAGCTGTTATTCTTTAACAGTTTATATTTTCAGTTATATCATATGTCTGTAAAAGATGTGTATTGATTAGGTTGCCTTACAAGCATCAGCTGTAGGGAATTTCCCTTAAGCTCAGCGGTGAAGCATGGGGCTGGAGAGCCAAGGGTCGCAGGTTTGAGCCCCAGTGACGGCACTATCTTTATCACTATTCCTCGTTCTATTACAAATTGGTGCCGGTGACCCTCCCCGTTCAAGGTAGGAGAACACTTGGCAGGGAGTCAAAGAACCTGGGTTGGTGTTAGAAAAAAGTGGGGAATAGTGTAAAAGATGTGAATTGATTAGGTTTCCTTACAAGCGTCAGCTGTAGGGAATTTCCCTTTAGCTCAGCATTGGAGCATGGGGCTGGAGAGCCAAGGGTAGCGGGTTCGAGCCCTAGCGACGGCACTATCTTTATCACTTTTCCTCGTCCTATTACATGTCATATGATATAACTGAATATATAAATTGATATTAAGGTTTACAATACTTAATTCTTTATTTTGATGCAACTGTATCAAATTCATGCAGGCCTGGGGTTAATTATGTACTGTAATTTTAAATACTGTAAAAATTAAGTTTACAAGCAGAGGTAGATATTTACAGGCAGTTAAGCACAATGCAAAGAACCCCAATTAATAAATGCCTGCTTAAAGGACTTGGGGCATTACAGACTATTTTTGGCCTCATAAAAGGTAAAAAAAATAACTTGAAATTACTGACCAATTTCTGTTATAAACATCATATTGGTTAATTGGGGCTACCTTTCTTGGTGCAGATTTGTTTTAATGTCCATGGGTAGATATGCCCTACCATAGCAACATAATTGCGTTTCTATGCAGAAATAGCAAAAATATGCATGGTGTCTGGACAGTTAGCATGCAGAAATGAAAGCCTCCGAATGTGACAAACAAACAAGAGGCCCAGAGGGCCTGTATGGCTCACCTGAATATTTAAGCAGTTATAGCAAATATTCTCATTAAATATTATATTGTACTACAAATTTGTCACTCCCAAACTTTGTCAGCTCCATCTGTTGAAACTACCAGTCAAATATTATTATAAGATTTTATGCTTTTTGACCATCGTTCTTCTTCAAATAGTAAAATTTTATGCCTTTTGATTTTTCAGAAGAAGTCGTTCAATGTTTTTGACATATTTGACACCTGTGACCTTGAAGAATTAAGGTCAAAGTCATTTTCATTCTCAAACTTTGTCAGGGTCTATCTCACGAAGCCACAAGGCAAATATGAAGGTTCTACACCTTTTAGTCCTTCAGAAGTCGTTTAAAAGATTTTGGCATATTTGACCACTGTGACCTTGAAAGTAGGTCAAGGTAATTTTCATTCTCAAACTTTGTCAGGCTCTATCCAAGGAAGCCACCAGCCAATTTTGAATATTCTATACCTTTTGGTTCTTTAGAAGAAGTTGTTTAAAGAGTTTGACATATTTGACCCCTGTGACCTTGAAAGCAGGCAAGGTCATTTTCATTCTCAAACTTTGTCGGCCCCTTTCCCAGGAAGCCACCAGCCAAATATGAAGGTAATATACCTTTTGGTTCTTCATTTGAACAAACTTGGTAGCCCTTCATTCTAGCATGTTACTGGCCAAATATCATTAGCCTAGGCCTCTTAGTTATTCAGAAGAAGTTGTATAAAGATTTTTTAAGATAATTGAACCCTGTGACCTTGAAAATGGACGAAGGTCATTCATTTGAACAAACTTGGTAGCCCTTCATCCCATCATATTACTAGCAAAAAATCATCACTCTGGGCATTTTGGTTATTCAGAAGAAGTTGTTTAAAGTTTTTAACTTATTTGACCCCTGTCACCTTGAAAATAGGTGAAGGTCATTTATTTGAACAAACTTGGTAGCCCTTCATCCTGGTTTGCTTCTGGCCAAATATCATTATCCTAAGCCTCTTGGTTATTCAGAAGAAGTTGTTTAAAGTAAAATATTGACGCCGGACGCCGGATGCCGGACGACAGACGATGGACGGCCGGATGCCGGACGCTGCACCATGGCATAAGCTCACTTGGCCCTTCGGGCCAGGTGAGCTAAAAATATATATTTGATATAGCGCCCCAATCTTAGGCTAACATAAGCCACTCTAAAGCACTTTACAGTACATAGAAGTACAATTAATACAATAAGCATATACAGACATTAATCAATACAATTTTGAGGAATTTGCAGGAGCTGCCTTATCAGGCGCTAACTAGTAGTCCTATGCCACCTGGCTAACATCTCCCTATGTGTGTTTGCCTGTGTGTGTGTTGGAGATTTATTCACAGTAGCTACTAAATTACACTCTGCCACAGAGGCTACACCCAAAAGACAGTAGCTGTTCTACATATTCTGTAAGGTTACCTTGACACAAATCCTTTGACAGTCCAGTGACAGCCTTCACAGTGAGTTGAGGCTGTGAGGTCTCTGATCCTGACCCTCCCTGCTATACCCATTCCAACCACCACCACTCCATACGGGTTGGATGCTGATCCATCAGCCATTTTGTATCTTTTACTTGGAAAGTATCACCTGTTAAATATTCATCAATAAACACAAAATCTTGAAGGATTTTCATCTGCTTTAAGAAAGTCGAATTCCCCGGCCAAGTTCAAGAGCGACATTAAAACTCACCTCTTTACGTCTGCATTTTAGGCTCTTTGCAAAGACGTCATGTCATATACCACACGTTATATATTCATTTATGTGCCTATTGCGATGATTATTAGCTTGCCTAATGTTTAAAGTGATTGTAAGCCTTTGTTTTTGTTTCACAATTATAACTAATACTATTATCCATATGTTGTAAAGTGCTTTAGAATAATTTTACAAATTATATAGGGCTTTATGTAAATGTTTATTATTATTATCATTATTTTGTGAATGCATAGACACTTATTGATAAATTCAAAGGGAGATAATCAAGACTTGTATAATCCTATTTTAAATTTCAAAGCTGGATTTTATAGTGTCATATTTACGCATAAATCTGTCACTTAATGTTCAGAAAACATGTATATATACAACATTTGATAAAGCGCCCTATCTAGCTTACAAAAGTCATTCTAAAGCGCTTTACAGTACATAGATATATCATTTATACAATTAAGATATATAACTGTACAAATTTTGAGGAATTCGCAGAAGCTGCCTTATCAGGCGCTAACTACTAGTCCTATGCCACCTGGCTAATTTCTCCCTATGTGTGTATGCCTGCGTGTGTGCTGGAGATGTATTGTGTTCTGTTTGTAGGGAGACTGTGCTTCCAACGGCATCTTTTATAGTGCCACCTTACTTGAATGCTACATCACAGATACCGTAACATCCATCCCAGACCATTTTATACTCCACCAGAGTTGTTCGAGTTGTGTGGGCAGGAGAAAAGCACTTTCTCTGATATTCCATGAGTGGGACGACTTTGAGGATCGAACCCTGGCCACCTGCGAAGAAGGCAGAAGCTTTAACCACTCGACCAATCCACCCATAATGTACATATTTACGTATGTATGGAGGTACGGTAGTCTAATGATAGGACACAGGGCTCGTGACCAAAGAGTTGCGGGTTCAAGTCAATTGTCACATCACTGTGTTGTATCTTGGAACAAGATACTTTAGCTTCCAGTCTACTCAGCTGTAAATGAGCACGTGGTTGACAGAATGGGCAGTGCTGGAATTGTTGAATGCTATCTGTGAACCTCTTTGAGACTATACATACGACTTAGGTTGTGATAAAGTGGTATATTAGAACCTCAAATTATTCTCAATTTATTATTATTATCATTATACATTTGTTTCTACTAATGACAATGATGAATAGGTTTTGATCTGCTGTTGGGATTCCATATAAATTCAGCTCGAAAAGGAATGGTACCCTCAGGTAATTCACCTGCTACTTTAATTTCATGAAATAAAAACACTGAAATTAACTGCCTTCTTTGCGTTTGTTACATTCAACCTGAAATCATATAGAACAAATGATTCTGTACTCTTTTCTTAGGAAGACAATTCAAGGTGTCACATACTGAATTCTGTTCTTGTGTTCTATACAGAGTTATCGCCCTTTATAACTTACTATTTCACTTATAATCACCATTATTAACTCATCTTCCCATGAAGACACATTTGAACTCTTCCAATTCAAAGTCTAAACATTGTTGAGATTCAATAAAAAAAAAAATGACTTACACGTAAAATGTATAGTGTACGTGGTTGTTTATTATTAAAAGTCTCATTTTAATCAGCTAATTTCGTATTTGATTATAGTTATTAGGTTGAGGTCTGTCATACTGGCCTGAGGTTGATAATTAACACTACATTATACATTTTTATATATAGTGATACAGTGACTTTGGTTTTGTTTGTGTTTTACGTCCTAATAGCTAGGTTCATTTAAGGATGTGCTATGTTTCAGTGGAGGAAAGCCGGAGTTCCTGGAGAAAAAAACACCGACCTACGGCCAGTACCTAACAATTGCCCCACGTGTAGTTATATAATTAGGCCTCGAACCCGCGACCCAGTGGTGGAAGGCTAGTGGTGGCAGATTGTCAGACCACTGTGCCACCGTCGGCCCCTTTCAGCTGTTCAGTATACAACATAAACATTTTACAATGTATAGATTCCAAGTTCACCTAAGACTACTGTGAAGTACTCCAACAGTGTTGGAGGTTTACACAGCGAGAAAGTCCTAACCGGCGCTCGCGGTCGGCAAAATCATATCCGATAGATACAATGTATACTCAGTAAGGCCGACCAGCGGCCTCTTCTCTTGTTACCACATTTCCTCACTCATGTGTTAAACAAATAAATGATGACAGTTCTAGTTGTTAGTACACAATTAATAAAAAGGTGGGCTGAGGACCGCATTTACCTATTATGTTTTCCCTGTCCCTGCTGAGGAACTTATTTAAACTATGTACATGAACACATGCATCCTATGAAGAATGTAAACATCAAAACAAGGACGATAACTCTGCTGGTGTTCCCAGATGCATTGTGTGGTAGCACTACACCATTTATCTGGCAAAACGATTTATCCTTGATAGCTATAGACACCCAAATAATCTTACTCAGATCTATACTGTATAAAGAAAGATTCACGCGGAGAAAAGATGCAATAGATTGGATAAGTAACAATTGCAAGTAATATTAGCACTACAGAACTTTTAACCGACATTTGCTGGATGTTCCAGAAGGGAAGTACGTGTCTTTTGTTTCATCGACGACAGCCGCTATTTAAATCTTTGTCAAATCCATGTAATGTCACGTCCTTATACCGAAAAACCGGGAAAATGACAACGAATTATCAACACACACTAATGGGCATAATAAAATACATCGACCTTAATTCATATCACACAAACAAACAGCTACCACATTTCTCAATGGGAATTTGATTGAGACCACCGAACCTGTCTATGATATCTATAAAATTGCATATTTGGAAACCATGGGTTGCAAATTTGTCTGTCAGAAGTCGATAACTGAAATCGGGATATTCGGAGCAATCTCTTGAATGCCGAATCAACTGCGACTTATAAACACCGTAGGTTGGGGAAGCAAGGACGTTATTATTAAGAAAGGGAATATTAACGACCGAGAAATCGAAATAGCCATACTTATCGTACAGCTTAGTAGTAAGCTTTCAATTTTGGTAAATATCTTGCAAATAAATATCGACGAAAATGAACATCTTCACTTTCACATTATGAAAACTTTACTTGACAATGTCTCTAGTACTAGCTGTATTTGAATTACTACTTCTTGCTGAATGAGACCAGACCTTATTGAAATAATCAGGCGTGATGGATCGCGGAAGAAATATCTCAACATGACGGCTAGGGAATCACAAATTCAATATTTTGCCTATGCAACACGGATAATATTGTACACCCAAACGTATTTTACATATTTTTGGTATGCTTAATACGATTTTCTCACAGTATGCGTATACTAAAATAGAATGAGATACACACTGTTATCCTCCCATATAAAAACAGATTTTATTTTATCTTTAAATATAATATGTATTATATAGTCATATGTCACGCTACCGTGATAAACCATTGTTAAAGAGTCCCCACGTCATCTGTCGACATCGGATTGTAACAATTCGATGCTTAAAAGCGTAAATGAGTTTCAATATATCCTGCTCGTTTTTAAAAGAAGGAAAATACGTTTTAACCAGGCATTTGAAAATTTATAGCAAATACAACGAATAAAGAAATCGACAACAAATTAATTTTGAAACTTTTATTGATGATATGTATTCAAAATGTAGTTAAAGGATAATAGCTCATTAGGTTGCAACTCTCATCTTTATTTCATATAGAAAAGCTGCAATTAAGGTTACAAATTATACAATTAGTTCATATCGGAAATCAAATTCTTTCTTGTTACACATTTCCGTCGCTGAAAAAAATCTTCATAAAAGTTTTGATCGTCAATTTTAATTGTTGGAGAATATCTCCTTTGGAATTCTTGTAAAATTTATTTTGGTCAAAACATGAAATTAAATTTTAACGTACATCAAATGAACATGCGAGGCCTTTTTTAGCATCCTAATTGAATTTGACGTTTGAAAAACGATATAACTCCTTTTTCTCTTCTTAAAGAACAAGAGTTGTTTATCTTACATTGTGAAAATGGAAAAAAAACCAGAAACTACAAATTTCAATATCAGTTTATTATTTCAACAGCAAAATGTTTCTTGATTCTTTTTGGCTTCAAAAATACGGGTACGCTGACCTATGTTTTTATGACAGTTTTGGAGATGATTTTCCTGCTTATATCCATTAAGACAAATTAGAAAGAAAGTAAGATATCTTGAAAATAATTAGCGTTTTAAAGTTTAATTTATAACAGTGATGAATCAAATTATTACTTGCATAATTCCCCTTATTGACGGGAACAGATGCGTATTTAGGACGTATTATAGTAGAAACTGGAGCACCCGGAACACATGCTCGTGCAGGTAGCAATCATATTCCTATATCCAATTCGAAATTTAAAAAATCTTGTCAATCATGAGCTATAAATGAAAAAGTAAACGCGAGTCCACATGTATAAATGTGCTGGAACGCATTGTAAAAAAGGCATGTTTTAAGATTGTAATAAAAAAGATATAAAACAAAAGCTCCGGGATTTCTTATGTATTTTTGGAAGAATTTCCTAACCGTTGCCACATACTATGTTCTAGATTTCAAACGTTTGTACGAATCGTTGTTCAAAAAATGTTGATATACATTTCTGTCAAAATATCTGTTTTCTTTTTGTTCGATTGGTATCTTGACGTTCAAAGTCTCCTTGGAATGATTTCAAATAAGCTAAATCATGTTCAGAATACATATTTCTTTTACTTGAACTGAAGGTTTAACCATCGTTGTAAAATCAGTTCTACGACTGAAGCCCAAGCACCAACCCGATACAGTCGTCGACTCGGGGAAAAACGCCCTCACAATCAGTTATGATGGCGGATGACCAATACCAAGTTGATTATTGTGGTTTTTGTTTGGATCTGGATTGTCACCCCCTGAAACATATACGCATTATAATCATATCATATTTATACTCACTTACACCCCCCCCTCTTCCTAACTAACCTATCCCCCATAAAAACACCTTTACAGGCAAGGCAAACATTGTGCAAGTAAAAGACACGCATTTAATTTTAACAGTGTAAGATGAATACTTGAATATTAAAATACTTATCTGTTGATTGAATATGTTGTGAATATTTGATTGTATATGCTTATGTTTATTCATAAACATTACTAGGACTTAAAAGGCTAAAAGACACATCGTGTATTGTTTCTATTAATTCAAGCTAAATAAGACAATATTCANTTTTTTTTCAAAATACCAATTTTCGTTCTGCATGTGTAATAATAACAGTACATCGATAATACAAAACCAAAAGTCCAGAACTGTTATTATGACCCCAGTGTGACGAAAATGATAATGTCTGCATGCGTTTTGTCCTTAATGACCCTGGTGATGTTTTCCAGTGCTCTAATCGTCAGAATACGTTCCAATGACTCTAGATCCTTTGCTGTATTTTTTCCGAAATTGAGAGTTGAAACCAAATGATATAAGCAACCCGTCCAATTTACTGATCAAATGTTGTTGTTTTTTTCTCATATTTTATGGGTCGTTTTTCCATGTACGAAAATGTTCCCCCTTAATGTCAAACACAAACGTTTACTACAAACAATGATTTGATTCCATAAATTGAATCAAAAGGTTCGAGTAACTTCATAAAGATAGTTTTAGAACAGATCATTGATACTCTTGAAAAAGAAGACGATGTAATTCCACTTCAGATGACATAGTTAAGTTTTTTCTTCGGAACGTTATTTTAACAATCTCATCCAGCATCGTGTTAAACTCAGTTCTAAAACTGAAACCCGAGTCGACAACCCGATGCACAGTCGTCAACTCGAAAAAAAATGTTACTTCATTTAGCGTGAATCCATATGGCAATCCATTTTACCTGTAAACAAAACAACGAATTAAGTATAAGATGTGCTAATGGAATTTAACATAATAAATGTTTCTTTTAGAGCTACTTTTTCGTTATTTCCATTTTATTTGGAAAAATGTTTGTAAATAATTGAGGATTCTCTAGTTGTAACCCTACCAAAATAATATCAACCCAAGGGAACGTGACACCCTGATGAGTGACTTCGACAATGCCAGACTATAAAGAATATCAGATATATATTTTATCACAACGAACGTCAGTAAGAAATTTCTTTGGTCCAAATATTTGTGCTTTTTTACTATAACAAGAGATATGGGGTTTTCAATTGGTGTAATATCGGCCACTCAGATTCCATGGATCTCACGCACGGTAGTCATACTTTTCTTATTTCACTTTGATACACTTTTGCTTGGAATGACATCACATTAGTTGATGCCCTAAAACTCGCACTTCAACATTATTGGCATTAGACAGAAAAGGCAGATTTGAAACTGGTCGGTAGTTTTTCAACTCCTCCTTGTCGATTCCAGGCTCCTTTAAAAATGGTCTAACATGTACCTTCTTGAAACATAATGGAACCTTTGCATAATAATGCAGCTTGTTTATGTACGATCCTACTAATATTCATATATAAACCTTTCTTGAAATGATCGGTATTAACGATGACGCAATAGAAGGATTTGTCTTGACCACAATGTCCCGAATTCTTTAATATATCATATTTTATACATGTACCATATTTTACACCGCATTTCAACAAATTCTTATCTAAATTACCCTGCAATTTATCCCTATTCACGTCACTATCCCTACGCTATAGTTGTTAATGTCGGTTACGGTTAACAGGTTTACAATTCAATTCAAATGTATTTGCATATTTGTAACTACAAAGTAGTTTGAAGGCAAAATAGTAAAACACAGTGAAATACATACATAGACATGTCTATGTAGAAAAGTCGCAAAGTGATTGCTTATATTTTTAATATACATCAACATGAACAAAATAAACATAGCTTCAAATAAAAGATTTGATTTAAACATTTTTAGCTTCAAAGTCCATACCTAATACTGACAGCAAGCCATATCTCCTCAGTTCTAGAGACTATTTAATGAATAAGCAAGAGTCCAGTCTAAACTGCAAGTTGTTTGTAGATAATATTGAGGTCAAATAATTGGTATCTAAGATAACATCATTGTATTTACACAAGTGTATTAACACTAGATTCAGTCTCCCATACATTTACGATCAATAATGTTTGTATCATGTAATACATATGTTATGTGAATAAAACAAAGTTTAAACTACTATCTTCAGTGACTTTGAAAGAGTCCATTTACAAGTTGCGAGTAAATTTGTTAAGCAATAAAAAATACGGAATCATCGATACATCTCTTTCTCAAGATATGAACAGGTTTTAACTATCATTATGTTGTGAACATGAATCAAAGGAGACCGAAATCTATCACTCTGGTCAGCATCAAGATATAGCCCAAACCGTTATACCCGTCTACCGCGAACGGAAAAAAGCGCTTAATTACTTCCTTCGCGGTTGACATATATAGTGGCAATATTACGACCATATTTATAGAACTTTGATCAACAAATGTAAATAAATCAACTGCCAGTGATATGAAAATTTAGAAAATAAATAAAGAAAACTCTTATTATTTATTTCAACATCACATCTACGAATACCCATGATATACATTTACAAAAAAAGAGATAAATTTATTGAGTTAAAAATAGATATGCATCAGCTAAGGTTCCGGAAGCCCTTAAAACATTGTATTGTCACCAAAAGTTCAATTCCCTGATAATAAAAGATCCCAATAAAAGACGCATATCTGAATTTAAATGGAGTGTTAAAAGATCAATTATATTGGGTTTTGAATTTGGGTGACCGTATATTTTTTCAAGGGGTTGTTTATTTAATTGTAATAGTACTTAGTGCAAACAACACAATAATTTAATTTAAAATCACGTTTACCTACCTTGAAATCAATGAAAATTGAAAAATCTCAAAAACAGAAAAATGTAAGGGAAACATACCATTGCCATATAGGCAATGGTATGTTGAGAATATGCAACTCAATGGTGCGGCCTGCTCAGTTTATATACCAACGTGTTATGATCACGTGGGCTGTCTCTGGTTCTGATATCAATTATCCAATGAATGACTGCTATCAAGTAACCCTGATTTTTGAAAATTTCCACGATCTACTTAGAATCATACACTAACTAAGGTTTCGCTTTCGATTATTGGAATCATGCACTTGCAAAGGTTTCGCTTTCGATTATTAGAATCATATCTACATACTCGATTAAAAACCTTGTTCGAATACGTGCATATTGGTAGATTATGTATCCACCTCATTAATAACAAAAAGTTCGAACTACATGTGCTTGGACTCGAGTAATGTTTAAGTTACGATAAATCTACTGTTGAGTGAATACTCAAGGGTGATCTTTGTAAAACGGAACTTTTTAAATCTACGTCACTGTTAAAACAAAGTCTTTATATTTGTCATTCTTTAGTTTGACAGTATTTTATTAAAAAATCAAACATCAACTTAGAGGGATAGGAAAACAAGCTTAGAGCTTATATTAATTTCTCACCAAATCATATTGACATGCAAATAATAATTCGAAACCAGGAACACCTGAACTGCAATATGAATAAATAAATTTAAAGTCTAACATTTAACATATGTACATGTGGTTATCCTTTGATTTATATTGTATAACACATCAGATTGGAAAGCTAGTGCTTTATCTTCTAGTGTTGGTCATATATACCAACACACGAACAATCACATACATTTATGTACAGTTCTTAGCATAATGTATTTAAAACATTAAATATTACAACGTTCACTTTTAACTTTCTCATGTGTACATGCACACAGGTTACAATATAATGCATTTGTAGATAAAGAAATTCAACTACAAGCATTTTCAATTTGCATATGTTTACATACAGTACAGTTACAACAAATGTATCTAAAATAAGAAATACAATACTAAGCACTTTCAATTCCATTTTGTCATTCTTTGAGACTCGATTGATTAAAAAGCAATAGAAATACTAAAAAATAATTATAAAAATAATACAAATTCATAGAAAGTGGAATTCAACGAACAATTTAAATAGATTATCATAAATTTATCAATTACAGGTGTATCATTAAGGTAACTAGGTGATTTTGACAGAGAGATATACATATACATATTGTTTCTCAACTTATTATTTGTTATTATATTGTGCAGTATTGTTTACCAATAACTGTTTATTTCTGTCTGATATATATTATCAATATATTCTCCTTCTAATATTTAAATTTCCTAAAATGCGTAAAATCAAATACCATTTTTTTCAAAACTGTAACCGGGTTGTTTTGTTTGTTCAGGTTTTCACTTTCTCGTGACATCTAAGGCCGTATGATGAAAGGCGCAAAATCATCGTAAAAAAGGAATAATAAGTAATTAAAACATCTCGCACAAATATTTGTTATAAAACTTGGACTGTTCAAATAACAAATTCTGATAACCATTGTTCTACCGGGGGAAAGAAACATTCTTTACGTTGTGGGTATGCCAAATAAATTTCAACATTGCGATTATATTATTAAATGTCCATCTCTCGGCTTAATGAAAGTATGGAGTTCAATAATCAAGAATACCATCCCTAGAGCTAAACTGAACGTTTTAGAGGATGAGGTCCTTTATTCTCTGTAGCCTATGAAGGCCTAATCCTTCAGCCCTCTAGTGTGTCAGCCCCTTCTTGAGTGTGTACATTTTTATCCTAAAAACAGGTTGATTATTATCACGACGTTTTATTCTTATCTGATTGATTGTTTTCGAGGAGAAGTCGAAAATATTGTTCGGTTCGCTGTTTAATAGATTAAACGGCTTCGTTTATTCTATTATTTAGCAACATTATGAATTGAAAAGAAGAAAGGAAAGTTTTGTCTTTACAACATTTTATATAAGTTCGACAATTTGATCCTGATTAAATAACAGTCACTTAGCATTTGTCTGCTGGTACATGAATTTGATCAATAATAAAAAGTAGACATAAAAAAAATCTATTTCTTCAAATTTAAATAGAATTAAAAATTACCCTTTACTGAAAACACCTTGCTCAACTCTGTAGCGTATATGTGTATAGTCAGTCACGATTTATCTCCCCTTAAAACGGCTTTACATGCTAGTATCTTTTTGTAAACTTTAATAAATAAAATTCTGAATCAGCCAGTTCTTGATTAAATACACTGTACATCGCTCAAGTATGCTGTGATGCAAACTATCTCTCAGTGGCGTGCTATTGTGTGGCGTGTACATCGCATTATGCTTCATTATTAAAATTGGAGTTCAACAACCAAGAAAATCATCCCTAGGGCTAATTTGTAAGTATTAGAGGACAGGTCATTTGAAGGTTTTATATTATGTAACCTATGAATGCCCCATCATTCAGCCCTGTATTGTGTCAGCCCCTTCTTGAGTGTTTATATTTTGATCCTAAAAACAGGTTGATTATTATCACGACGGTTTGTCATTATCTAACTGATTGTTTGTTAGGAGAATTCAAAAAGATTGTTTGGTTCATTGTTTAATAGATTAAAACGGCTTCGTTTATTCTATTATTTAGGAAAATAATAATGAGTTGAAAAGAACAAAGGAAAGTTTTGTCTTTTCATGATTTTTTTATAACATTTTTGTACAGGCTTCGACAAACTGCTCCTGATTCAATTACAATCACTTGTGTATAGTACATGTGTATAGTCAGTCACGAGTTATCTCCCCTTAAACGGCTTTACGTGCTAGCTCAGCGATTTGTTATTGTGTGGCGTGTAACTCGTATTATACTTCATTATTAAAATTTGTTGTTGCATATTGGGCTTCTGGAATTGTGTAACAAAAAAGGTATTTTACAGCATTCATTCTTCATTTCAATACTAATTATATCAAATTATGTCAAACAAAAAGAAGACATACAATACTACGAGCAGATTTTTTTTCAAATTCGTATTCAGCACATTCCTATTAATTACTAAATTTTGATTTATTAACACAAAATGTTTAAGTTACGTAAGTAAACGGCTACTGTATTTCGGGAAATTGTCTCTGCAATTTAATTTTCGCCTTTTTGGCCTTTCATGATGAAGGTGAATTTATCATCACAGCGAAAATTGGTAAACCAACACAATACACATATAAATGAAATGTGAAGGGCGAAATTAACACTAGGCGAAAATTGAATTTGTGGGTGGTAGGCAAAGGTTTGACTCCGCGAAAATGTCCCAGCATATACAGTATATCTGGTTTAAAGCCTATTGGTCAAGGCAATCAGAGCCGTAGGAGCTGTACAAAGTTTAAGACTATGGTGCTATTTCATTTCGTAATTAAGGTTGTTGCTAAGGATTATGTTTGCATTTGAAAGGAATATTGTAATCTGTTGAAGGAAAAATCCGTACAACTACTATATATGTGTAATCTGTTGTCGATCAATCGACCTTTGACCCACAAGAGTGTAACGTTTATTAATTTATGCTAGGGGACGGTTGAGACTACTTTGATGTTGTACAACTCCCTTATTTTGCCTTATTATTTATTTAATTAATTAGTATCGGCCTAATTTGCATCGATTTAACTACATTAACTTTAGGTCAGGTGTATGACCATGGTGCGTTTATCTTCATTATAAATATATATATTTATTGTGCTATACGTTTTGCTAACAGAGAGTGTGTGTGTTTTGAATCGTGCTATTGTGTTTATCTATGAAAGGAATCTCTCCTTTTTATTTTTACAGTTTCAATTGACTATTTCAAATTAATTCAAAATCATTTAATTTTTCTTTTAACCAGTTGTATTGGTCACTCATAAAAAACAGTACATTTGACAGTTACGTTTTTGTCAATGAAATGTATCAAAACTGTAGCTGACTTAGTGACAGGTAGATTTAAAATGAAAAATATAATGACACCAATTTCCTGATGCTATTTCCTGACTTAAAGGTGATTTACTTGTCACGTATATAACATCAAATTGGAAGAAAGATTATGTTAAAATAAATTAAACAACCTACTATCAGAGGCGAACATATCAATAAAAAGTTCGGAGAAAACCATCTGAATGGAATCATTTTATGTTTAATGTTTTAATATCTTTCATGTAGAATGAGCAAAACATAAAAAACTTGAAAAAGTATTAAACATATTGGATTCGAGTAAGGATAATTAAAATGGTATATATAGTACAATAGTACGATGGCCGAAGGCGGCCAGGCACAATTGAAGCATTTATGCCTCGTTTCTGTACCATGGTACACTTTCGTGTGGTACACAAACGAAGCATTTATAGTTCGTTTGTGTACCACGGTACACTTTTGTGTGATACACAATCGAAGCATTTATACATCGTTTCGTTACCGTTAGACGACAGCGGCCGGACATATTTGAAGCATTCATGTTTCGTTTGTGTCCCGTTAGCCGAAGGCGACCGGACATATTTGAAGTATTTATACTTCGTTTGTGTACCACGGTACACTTTTGTGTGATACACAATCGAAGCATTTATCATTCGTTTCTGTACCGTTAGCCGAAAGCGGCCGGACATATTTGAAGTATTTATACTTTGTTTCTGTACCACGGTACACTTTTGTGGTACACAAACGAAGTATAAATGCTTCGTTTCTGTACCGCGTTACACTTTTGTGGTACATAAACGAAGTATTTATACTTCGAATGTGTACCACGGTACACTATTGTGTGGCCGAGAGCGGCCACTGATAGGAAATGACCATGAGCTATTATTTTTCCAATTAAAACATAACGGGTTGCCGCCGTGGAATGTTGAGGTCTGTCGTAACTCTTCTGTGGAGGGCTCATACAGGATACGTCTTGTTTATTTAAAAAACTAAATATTTGTTAAGATACAAAATATGTTAATTATCATGTGAAATATATGCATAGCGAGATTAAAAGCGATATGCATTTGTCGTTTAAATTTGTTATATATACCGGTACGTGACCTTATGCTATTTTGCTTGATGATTTACTTGACGGCTACCACACCCTCATCCACCCCAAATGGGCCCATGTCCAGAGCGTAAGCGTTGGTTTGATATCCTATTACTGCGATAACCTTTCGTATGATGAACATTCCAAACGCTGGCGAGGTCAATACGCCAATGTCCGTTTAAAAGTGTACCATGGCCGCTTTCGGCTGTACAATCGGACAGAAACGAACAATAAAAGTGTAACGCAGAAGTGTACCACACACGTGTAACGCGGTACACAAACGAAGTATAAATGCTTCGTTTGTGTACCACACGACAGTGTGCCATGGTACAGAAACGAAGTATAAATGCTTCGTTTGTGTACCACACGAAAGTGTACCATGGTTCAGAAACGAGGTATAAATGCTTCAAATGTGCCTGGCCGCCTTCGGCCATCGTACAATAGGATTATCAATATTATTTTGGGTTGATCAATAGTAATACATAAAGACAACTCTAGTAGCAGAACACTTCAGCTTCTTTGCATAACAACGTAAAATGCAATGTAAGACAGCTCAATACATGCATGCACTTACCATCCATAGAACAAAATTTGAATATTTGCCAATGGAAAACCCTGTTCTCGCGACCTAGTTTTCTGAGGATTTCCACCATTGACTTAGGCCGGAATGTTTAAGTCCATCGAGGAAATGATTAACGGTGCAAAGTTTAAGAGGCCGTAAATAATTACTGAGAATTCTGGTTGCGTGAATATATGTACATTTACGTAACTGACAGATGTCTGCTTGCTGTCCCTAATGGAAGATGGTATGCGTTATCATCTGTTAAATGTTTACTTCTCCAGTTCTGCCAAACTACTGTAGAGCACGCCAAATTAGATATATGGACTTTTTGTTATAACTTAAGATTGGTGAAATAAAGAGCAATGCAATTCCATTCATATTGACCGGAATTCATGCTTATGTTGACGTATGAGGAAAGGTATAGCTTAAATATATTTAACTTTAGTAGAGTATGTGCAAAGAAATCTTTCGCAATATTGACTGATATGAACTACAAAATGTATCTTATTAGCCTATGCTTTTTGGTAGTCCTTGCTGACATATACCTTGACCTTAGGTTTTAGGTACCAAATAAATCAGATCTATATGTTTTCACTTGGTATAACTTGTTTAGAATAGAATATGATAGGTATGTCAAACTGGCCGATATTGATACTCAAGTTGACCTATGACAATTGGGTTAAACTAATATTTGCCCATTAAATATTGTGTCTGAGGATATTCACTAGTTCAAAATAACAGGGGCGATCCATCAAATGTTGTTAAAAAGGAGTCAGTTATTTCGGACTAGATATTCACAAGCGATTTTGTATTTTTATAACCAAATGGATTGGTAATCAATATCCCTGAATACTAATGTCCTGGATCTGCAATACCAAGGTTCCTAAAGTCCGGATGTTATCGATTCTGGGACACTGATATCATTTAGTCAGAATACGGAGTTTGCGGTCTGTTAATTTAACCTTGTTACTCGCGCAATACAAATAATAACGAGACCTGCACCCATCTCAATGTCAGGATCAACAACCACCGCTGCTCCATCAAGCAGAACAAACCAGACTTCCCTGTGGCAAGGCATTTTAATATGCCTAGTCATAGTTGGAAAGACATGCAGGTTGTTGCCATAGATCATTGCCCTACATGGGATGAAACGAGACGACGTACGAGAAAACGGTCTTGGATCACCAATCTACAAACCCGCTACTCTCGAAGTATGAACGAACGATAGGCAGTTGCCATCCGCTTGTTTTCCTTCCAGGGGGCATTTGACCTAATGATTCATTACTGCACAGTTGGTCTGCTATATCGCCTGCCTGCTGCTTCATGTCAGTTTGTGTGACCAACAGCTGTTGTCAGATTTATTTTGCGGATTTATACAGTACCTAGCCATTTTATCTACTTATTCCTCCTGCACTCACTTATTTCATCACTACATGCATAATTCCTGCAAACCAATAGAGGCACATGTATAATTCCTGCAAACCAAAAGAGGCGACTAAGTGGGACCCCGTGCTGTGACTTAGATCCATCGCATTATTGAGAGGCGTCTAATGAGACATTCCGTAGCAGATTGGTGATTTTTCACATTTACCGGGCCATATTTCCAAATGCGCATGTTCAACGTTTTTGATATCTCTCGTGGACTCACTTTATATGTCAGTGCATCTTGCGCAAGAATAGGTCCTCTACATCAGCGTTCCTTGTCCGCGATGCTCTCAGCGTAATTGCTGCCTTCGGCTGTTTTTGCCAAGGGGACTATTGTTTTATATAATAGCTATATTTTCAATTATAGTATATGAATTCTATCTTCCTGTAATATGATGTATATGTACATGTAACTGTTCTGTTTCACTGTGTCTTGAAAAAGGAGTTGATCGCTCCGAAAATTTGACAACCTAAACTTGTCCATACTGTTGAAATTACTTCTTTGCTCCATATAATATTTTAAGTAATTCGTATTCTACGGACATACCTCCATTAGGATCCAGTGTTATATGGGATTTTACCGTCTATATTACTTCTTTGACCCATATATATATGTATATATATATGGGTCAAAGAAGTAATATATATATATATATATATAAAATATTTAATGTTGGTCCAAACTGTAGAAGTCGGGACCAAAGTTGACAGTCGGGCGTTCTTGCTGAGAATGGGTTCTATTCAGCAGTCTTTTATGTTGAATGAACACCTGTACGTGGAAAATACCACCGAATATTATATTTAGTATCTAGCGTCAACGCTGCTATGTTGTAAACACTAATGCGCAGCTATGTGTTCTTTGAATCGGTTAAATGATCAATGAGTCGTTTGAGTCTGTGACGAGTTCACAACAAAAGAGATACCATACCATATCATAAATTATGGAAATACCGTTTTTCTTCTGTAAGTTAACGTTTATACCGTTATAAGAATACAAATATCTTCTTGTAATAAGACATATTTCAATGATAAAAGGTTAATGCTTTAGTTTCATTCATAAAGCAAGGGCAGTTTGTTTACGATACTCCATTAAATATACATTAATAATTGCTGTCTGTAGCCTACGGTGTTAGCCAGTCGAAGTCGAAGGGGAAGTGATAAATAGTTAAGTCTCTGGTGCTATAAACCTAAGTAAGCTGTCATAATAACAATTTGTAATTACGGATTATATATTTACACTCTAACGGGGTATTGTAGAAATATGTCGTCTTTTCATCATCTACTGTACTGTGAAATAGAATCGGGATGATGATGATGATGATGATGATGATGAATTGTGTCGCAAAGTATATCATACAGATGTAAAACTAAATAATATCGATCAAAATAGCATAACTCTAACAAAATAATAATGGCAAACATCCACACTTGATAAAAAAAGCTAATGCCGCGCACCTACTAGGCCAAAACTTGTTAAGATGAAGTCATAGGTCAATCAGACCAACAATTTTGATAAATGTTACACACTTTTGATTTACACAACAAATTGAATGATAGCATGTCGATATATATAGGTCACCAAAGGCCAAATCCATCATCAATATCTCGATGTATATGGCTAAACCTGTCAAAGGTATTCTAGTCACGTGACACCAAGGTCCATGTGCATGGATACAGTAAACATGTATTTGTGAATGCATGCTGGTTAGCCCCCAACAGGGCGCCTCCGACTCTCTGTCTGCAAACGATTGCGTTTATATACATTCTGTTTGTTGCAGGGACCATCTTCATGTTTATCGGTAGTGATGGTATAATTGACATATGACATTATAAAAATAACTTTGTCAAAGGTAAAGATCACAAAAATCAACAACCAATACATTCTGACGATATTTTTATTTTTCATTATTTTTCAAAATACCAATTTTTCCCTGATCTTATATGGATGAGTTTACCTCGCATGCAGAAAGAACAGTATATTGATAATACAAAAACCAAAAGTCCGAAAGTAGACTGTTATTATGACTCCAGTGTGACGAAAATGATAATGACTGCATGCGTTTTGTCCTTATTGTTTCCGGTGATGTTTTCGAGTTGATTTCAAATCGTAAGTATATTAATTCAGAATAACAATTCTGACATTCCGCCTCACTTTGTATCATCTTTCTCCCACGTTCCAATCATTTCAAGATGACAAAATTTATTATATTCTCTTTATCTGCATTTTTTTTCCGAATTTACACAATTTGAAACCAAATGTTATAAGTAACTAGTCCAAGTTACTGATTAAATGATTTTGCTTTTTTCTCATTTTTTTAATGGGTTGTTTTTCCATGTTCGAAAATGCTCTCTCATAATGTCAAACCGAAAAATTAGCCGCAAACATAGATTTTGAAATTCCATAAACCAATGGAAATAAAATGTTCAATTAACTTCATATAGAGAACTTTAGAACAGATCATTGACACTCTTGAAAAAAATCGATGTAACTCCACTTCAGATGACAAAATTTAGTTTTTTCTTCGGAACGTTTTTTCCCCATCTTTTATCCAGCATCGTGTTGAAGTTGAAATCAGTTCTATGACTGAGAGCCCGAGTCGACAACCCGATGCACAGTCGTCAACTCGAGAAAAAAGAGTTTCTCCATTTAGCGTGAATCCATTACAGTTCACCTGTAAATAAAACAACGAAATAAGTATCGGGCGTGATAATAAATTTAGTTTATTTTAAAACCTCAATTGGTCAGTATGTAAAAAAGTAAAAAAATAAATCTTTCTATCCTGAAGGGTCATTGTTATTATATTAAAGCTATCTATGAATGGAATAGAAGATTGACATTTCAGATTGTTATGTTTATATCTATTTGTGCGAATAAATCAGACGAACAATATATCTTTAAATTGAAATTTAACACTACCATTTCAATATGTTATATTCCGTTTCACGTGATTTATTTCGTATGCTTTGAAGATCAGAACTTAGATATCTACCAGAATTTCATTTTCTTCATATACAAGGAGACTTATAATAAGTTCTTACTTTCCGATATATTTCCTTTCTTCCTTACGTGGTTATATGACTGAAAACCCTTCAGTTATTAATCCAACTACTACAGGAATCGCTCTTCAGTCAAAATAAAAACACCACCAAAGTGGTCTAAACAAACAAAAAACAGAAAGTATATTAATAAGTCAAACAAACCCAAGTCCTCATCACCAACCATTGTACATGAATAATGAAGAAATAATAAATGTTGACGTACCCAAGCACCTAGGAGTATTTTTACGAATGAGTTGGGTCAAACATGTATATTACATTATTAATAAAACCTCAGCCTGAATCAATATTCTACGTTCTCTAAAATTCGAACTTTACCGAAACACATAACAAACTATTTACTTTTCATTTATCAGACCTATTATTGAATATGCTGACGTAGTGTAGGATAATTTTACCGATGAATATAGTGCTAAACTGGAACCAATTAATACTGAGGCAGCTCGGATTGTATCTGGTGCAACCAGACTGACAAGCATGGAAGTAGGCTGGAACAAATTAATTGAACGTAGACATCAACATACACGAATTGATTTCCACAAAACGTTCTTCCAAAATATCCCTCAATGTCTCAACTGTCTTGTACTACAATCAGTTACTGGAATACATAGCCATAATACTAGACATTCGGATGTTACAACTATCGCTCCCATTCACTGCCATTCTAATGTGTATAAAATATATTTCTTGCCCTCTGTTATCAATAGCTGGAACTCCATTCCAGTTAATGTCGAGAGAAACCCTTCCACTAATCAATTTAAATGTAGCTATCTTATTGAAAATTGATATAGGTAATACATTGTTAGATCCCCACTATGTGCATGTGGAAGCATCGAAAACACTTCTCATTACTTGCTAGAATGTACCTTCTACACTGCCATCAGACAACTATACAGATTGAAACTTTTCCGTATCATATCACTGTCGAATTGTTATCATGTGGCGATGAATCGTTATCTTTAGAAGAAAATAAAATAATTGTCTTCGATGTTCAGGATTACATGCTTAAGTCAAAACGATTTAAACAACATTAAGGTAATACAATGTTATGATGATATTGGTATTAATATATACATGTTATTTCAAATAATTATGGATTCTAATTTAAACTATGTTTGTATGTATAAATTGTATGAATGTATGTATGTATGTATGTTTAAATGAATGCATGTGCGCATGCATTATGTATGTATGTATGTTTATATGTATGTATCTATATATCTATGTATGTATGTATGCATGAGCGTGATATGTGTAGGAGAGCATGCATTTAAGTACGTGGGTGCGTAAGTATGCATGCATGAGCGTATATGCATGTTAGCAAGTCAATATAATGTATGTATGTATGTATGTATGATAGATAGATAGACATATGTGTTTATGGTGTGTGGGTATGCATGTATATATGAAAGTTTGCATGCGATCACAAAGTGTCATGCAAAAAACAGTGTTACCAACATAGTAATACATCAATTGATATATTATCTTACGAAGTCTTCTAATAAGATTCTTATTCAAGGACTATTGTATTCATATACACATTTAGTCCGAATTATTCTGACGTTTTATCGACTTTTTTATATCGGTCTGTCGTCGATTAACGAATAGATCTTTCGATCCATGTGCGACATGTGTGTGGTATTGACGATTTGTTTCTAAAATATCAGTTTGAAAATATCAGTTTGAAGAGCGACCCTGGTGCGGGTCGCTTATTTCCCGCATATTATAAACGGCCGGCGTTCTGACGTTAATCGACGACAGACTGATATAAAAAAAAGTCGATAAACCGTCAGAATAATTCGGACTAATACACATTGTAATGGGTTTCTGTGTAAAGTAAGTCATGTGGTTGGTCTTTCCGATGGAAACAGTATAGTGGAAACGGATATACCATTTCCCCAATTCTCGGCTAACTTCCCCTGTAATTTATCCCTATTCACGTTTGTAACTACAAAGTAGTTCGAAGGCAAAATAATAAAACACCGTGAAATACATACATAGACATGTACATGAAGAAAACTCGCAATGTCATTGCTTATATTTCTAATATACATCAACATGAACAAAAAGTTAACATAGCTTCAAATAGAAGATTTGATTTAAACATTTTTAGCTTCAAAGTCAAACCTAATACTGTCCGCAAGCCCAATATCCTCAGTTCTAGAGACGGTTTAATGAATAAGCAAGAGTCCAGTATAAACTGCAAGTTGTTTGTAGATAATATTGAAGTCAAATAATTGGTATCTAAGATAACATCATTGTGATTAGGAATGCATTTACATAAATGTATCAACACTTGATTCAGTCTCCCATACATTTATGATCAGTAATGTTTGTATCATGTAATACATATGTTACGTGAATAAAACAAAGTTTAAACTACTATCTTCAGTGACTTTGATAGAGTCCATTTACAGGTTGCGAGTACAATGTAAAGCATTAAAAAATATGAAATCATCGACACATCTATTTCTCAAGATATGAACAAGTTTTAACTATCCTTATGTTGTGAACATGAATCAAAGGAGCCCGAAATCTATTACTCTGGTCAGAATCACAGATATAGCCCAAACCGGTATACCTGCTACCGCGAACGAAAATAGCGCTTAATTACTTCCTTCGCGGTTGACATGTATGGTGGCAATATTACGACCATATTTATAGAACTTTGATCAACAAATGTAAATAAATCAACTGCCAGTGATATTAAAATTTAGAAAAGAAATAAAGAAAGAAAACTTTTAATTATTATATATTTTAACATCACATCTACGAATATCCATGATATACATTTACAAAAAAAGTGATATATTTAGTGAGTTAAAAATAAATATGCATCAGCTAAGTTTCAGCAAGCCCCCTTAAACATTGTATAGTCACTCAAAAATACATATCTGAATTTAATTTTGTGTTAAAAGATGAATTATATGGGGTTTTAAATTTAGATGACTATATATTTTTCAAGAGGTTTGTTGAACCTAGAACCCCATCATAAAAGCAGTCAGTGCAAACAACACAATCAATTTGAAATAACGTTTACTTACCTTAAAATCAATGAAAACTGGCTAGCACTTAAGAATAAAATTCAATGGTGCGGCCTGCTCTGTTTATATACCAGTGTGTTTTGATCACGTGGGCTGTCTCTTGTGGTCTGATACAAATTATCCAATGAATGACTGCTATCATGTAGCGCTTATTTCTCTAAATTTCCACGATCTACTTAGAATCATATTCGTAATAAGGTTTCGCTTTCGATTATTGGAATCATTCACGTACCAAGGTTTCGTTTTCGTTAACGGATTAATATACATACTAGATTAAAAACCATGTTTAAACACGGGCATATTGGTAGATTATGAATCCGTCTCATTAATAATTAAAAACACACACTGTATGTTCTAGGACTCGAGTAATGTTTAAGTTACGATAAATCTAGTGTTTGGTGAATAATCAAGAAAAATCTTTGTAAAAAGGGACTATTTAAATCTACCTTACTGTTAAAAAAAGGTCTTTTTATTTGTCATTCTATAGTTTGACAATATTTTATTCAAAATTTAAACTTCAAATTAGAGGGATGGGAAAACAAATTTAGAGCTTGTATTTATTCCTCACCAAATTAATTTACAGGCAAATAACTTTTCGAAACCAGGAACAACTAAACTGCAATATGAATCAAACAAAGACAAAGTTTAACATTTTAAATATGTACATGTGGTGAATCCTTTGATATTTATTGTATAACACATTAGATTGGAAAGCTTGTGCTTTATCTTCTAGTGTTGGTCATATATACATACACACGCTTAACCACAGCCACTCAGGCATGGTTGCACGTACGTATACTCGCATCCACACACATACATCTGTGCAGAGTTCTTTGTATAAACTGTTAAGAACATTGACTACAACAACGGTCACTTTAAACTTTCAAATGTGAACATGCACAATAGTTACAATATAATATATTTGTAGACAAAGAACTTCAATTTGCATATGCTTACAGTACAGTTATAACAAATGTATCTAAAAGAACTACAGTTATGAGCACAATCGAATGCATTTTGTCATTCTTTGAGATTTGATTGTTTAGAAAGCACTTAACATACTTAAACATAATTAAAAAATTAATACAAATTCATAGAAAGTGCAATTCAACGAACAATGTATGAGATTATCATAAATTTATCAATTATAGGTGTATCATTGCAAGGTAACTAGGTGATTTTGACAGAAAGATATAAATAAACATATTGTTTCTCAACTTATAAAACGTAATTGTATTGTGCAGTACTGTTAACCAATAACTGTTTATTAAATTTCCCAAATTGCGTAAAACCAAAAACATTTATGAATGAAAACTTAACCGGGTTGTTTTGTTTGTTCAGGTTTTCACTTTCTCGTGACAGCTAAGGCCGTATGATGATAGGCGCAAAAGCATCGTTAAAAAGGAAGAATAAATAGGAGATATATAGGAAAGAAAGATGGAGGTCCCAAATATCACAATATGGGCTACAGATCAACTGTGTTCTCTCCAATATTCCTTGACATCGGGTACTACCGGAATAACGATTACGCTGGGAAGCATATCTTAATTCGACGGGGAACACCATTAAATTGCAGTTGAAAATATGACTTAGGTAGATATTATTTAATTTTTAGCTCACCTGCCCGAAGGGCAAGTGAGCTTATGTTATGGTGCGGGGTCCGTCGTCCGTCCGTCGTCCGTCGTTCCGGCGTCAACTTTTTTCTTTAAACAACTTCTTTTCGGTAACAAAAAGGCCTAGGAAGATGATATTTGGCCAGTAGCATGCTGGGATCAAGGGCTACCAAGTTTGTTCAAATAAATGACCTTGACCCACTTTTAAGGTCACAGGGGTCAAATATGTTAAAATTTTCAAACAACTTCTTCTCAATAACCATAAGGCCCAGGGTACTGATATTGGGCCTGTAGCATGCTGGGATGAAGGGCTACCAAGTTTGTTCAAATGAATGACCTTGACCCACTTTCAAGGTCACTGGTGTCAGATGTCTTTAAAATCTTCAAACAACTTCTTCTCAATAACCAAATGGCCCAGGGTACTGATATTGGGCCTGTAGCATGCTGGGATGAAGGACTATCAAGTTTGTTCAACTGAATGACCTTGACCAATTTTCAAGGTCACAGGGGTCAAATGTCGTAAAATCTTCAAGCGACATCTTTTCAATAAGCAAAAAGGGCCATGGTACTGATATTAGGCCTGTAGCATGCTGGGATGAAGGGCTACCAAGTTTGTTCAAATGAATGACTTCGACCAATTTTCAAGGTCACAAGGTTCAAATATTTTAAAAACTTTAAACAACTTCTTCTCAATTACCAAAAGGCCCAAGGTACTGATATTGGGCCTGTAGCATGCTGGGATGAAGGGCTACCAAGTTTGTTCAAATGAATGACTTCGACCAATTTTCAAGGTCACAAGGTTCAAATATTTTAAAAACTTCAAACAACTTCTTCTCAATAACCAAAAGGCCCAGGGTACTGATATTGGGCCTTTAGCATGCTGGGATGAAGGGCTACCAAGTTTGTTCAAATGAATGACCTGGACCTACTTTCAAGGTCACTGGTGTCAGATGTCTTTAAAATCTTCAAACAGCCTCTTCTCAATAACCATCAGGCCCAGGGTACTGATATTGGGCCTGTAGCATGCTGGGAGGAAGGGATACAAAGTTTGTTAAAAAAATGACCTTGACCCACTTTCAACGTCACAGGGGTCAAATGTCTTAAAATCTTTAAACAACTTCTTCTCAATTACCAAAAGGCCCAGGGTACTTATAATGGGCCTGTAGCATGCTGGGATGAAAGGCTATCAAATTTGTTCAAATCAATGACCTTGACCAACTTTCAAAGTCACAGTGGTTAAATGTCGTTAAATCTACAAGCGACTTCTTTTCAATAAGCAAAAGGCCCAGGGTACTGATATTGGGTCTGTAGCATGCTGGGATGAAGGACTACCAAGTTTGTTAAAAAAAAATGACCTTGACCAATTTTCAAGGTCACAGGGTTCAAATATTTTAAAAACTTCAAACAACTTCTTCTCAATTACCAAAAGGCCCAGGGTACTGATATTGGGCCTGTAGCATGCTGGGATGAAGGGCTACC